TTTGCTTTTTTTTTTTCCTACAGGCACACAGATTTTGACTATACCCCCTGCAGAGTCATGCAAGCATGTAAGAAACAAACAGCAGGGAATGGAAGATTGACATCAAGCCGTTGCCAGAGCAACGGAATGGGCTGGGGGTGGGGGCAGCGACTAGGTTCTGTCTCCATAGAGGTTGCGCAGGCTGGACATCAACATTCCTAGACGCACGCGCCAGGATGCGACAGTCGAGGTCTGGAGGAAACCTTCAGATACAGGTTGGCCAAGATGCTTTCTGATCTCTAATCCTGCCTTATAAATCGAAGACACCTCCTTGGACCTAGGGTGTAGTTCTCCAACACTTTGGGTAAGGAAGGGGGTTGGCTGAGCTGAGGGCGCGGGTGGGGCACGATGGTCTCGTGAGTGCAGCTGGCCCCCGCATCGAGCCATGGCGCCCAAGAAGAAGCGCGGGCCAAGCGCCGGGCGCAAGCAGGCGGGCGACAGTGCGGAGACCCCGCTCTCCGAGCGCGCGCAGTATCTGCTGCGCGAGTACTCGCTGCTCTCAGAGAAACTGGTGGCCTGTGAGCAGCAGGTCGACCAGGTGCTGGAGAACAATGCGTTCCTGGACCGCGAGGCGCAGCGCTTACGCGAAGAAAACCGGCTTTACGCCAGTTATGTGAGCGCGCACGCGCAGCGCTGCGCCAACGCCATCGTGCGTCTCGAGGACCAGAACCGCATGGACCTGGCACAGATCCGGTGGCAACGAGCCGAGCTGGCGTCGCTTTATCACGGGCGCGAGGACGGGGTGCGTGCACAGCTGCTGGAAATGAAGATGCGCGCGGAAAACATGACACAGAAGGTGCAGGAGCTGCAGCCCTACAAGGCCAGTGCGCGCGCCTCCAGGGACCGGGCGGGGTCGAGAGGGATGGGCGCGCTCCCGCCTGTGCGCTGATCCGCGCTCCCGCTGCAGGAGCTGCAGCTGGAGCAGCTGGCGCGAATCCGGACCCTCGAGCGTGAGCTCCTGCACATGCGCGTGGAGCACACGCAGCTTCTCCACCGGGTGAAGCGACGCTTCCTGGATGACAAGGCTGCTTTTGAGCGTGAGGCGCGCCTGCACGTGCACTCCCTGACGCGCCGCTCAGAGCGGGAGGCGGCGCGCGCCCTCATTACCCACACGCAGGCCATCAAGGCGGACAACGGGCGTCTCCGACAGGAACTCCTGAGGCTTCTCCACCGGGCCTACGTACTACAGGACATGAGACTGCAGCTGCTGGAGCAGCGAGAGCAGCTGCGCAGGGAGCACCAGGACATGCAGAACCTGGAGTACGTGCACGGCTGGCTGCACAGGGGGCCCGGGGGGCCACCACTCTGGCAGCCGCCCCAAACCCACCTGCCCAACTTGCTCACTGGGTCACTTAGCACCCTGTTGGAATCCTCCTATACAACTTTTAGTCCCCAGGTTATGGCCCAATCACGTGTGGCCTCTTGGGCCTCATCGGTGGCCCAGTCACACCGAATCTCCGAGATTGCTTCTGTAAAGTCCGAGGAGTCTTCTCTTGTCCCGTCTCTAAAGGCTGGGTCTGTGATTGCTCCCCTGACTCCAACACAACCAGGATCCCGAGTCCCATCTCTGACTATGTCGCACCGGGGCTCGCGGATACCGTCCATGACCCAGTCACGAATGGACTCCAGGGTGACATCCCTGACTGTATCGCCCAATACTTCTGTCTTGCTGCCGCGCTCGCGCGAGGGCTCTAAGATCTCTCCACAGCCCTCCTTGCGAGAGTTCTCTCAAGACGCTGACGCCTCTGCAACGTCCAGCTCCAAGCTTCTCTCTGTTCAATCCCAGGATCCGGTCCCTCTCAGCCCTCAAATGGAGGAGACAGCAAACACTGACGATGCCATAGAAATTATCTTGGGGCAAGCCTGAACCCACAAACCGGGGAGGAGACCCGTAGGACCATGGTGTGGGAGAAACATACCCTGAAAGCTTTCTTGGTACATAAAGATGTTAATAAAAGTGTAAAATAAACCCCATGATGATCTGGCACCTGCCTGGTTCGCTGCCCACGTATTTCAGATGTGCAGAGGTCTGCAATTCGAGCTACAAGGGAGCTCGATGTCTCCTCCTCTGCTGGAATTCGATGTCCTTCCACCAACAGCCCACCTGGGTAGAGAGCCAGCAAGGTAGACTTGGGCTGTGCTCAGGGTAAGTTTGGTAGTGTAATTTCGAGGGAATTTCTACAAAAGAGAACAGGTTACATCTTCATCACCGCAGAGAGCCTACTGAGGCGTCCCCAATCATTTAAAATATGTGTTTTCCAATTTAGGGAAGACTGCAAGAATTATCTGGGAATTCCCATTGCCACACACCTAGAGGAACAGGGATATGTACTTTGGTTCTTTGAGTCAGCTGGGATCCTTCTGGAAAGAGTTATGTCTCTTTTTTAGACCAGGCTGGCCTTGAACTCACAGAGTGCTTCTGCCTCCCAAGTGCTGGGAGTAAAGGTGTGGTCACCACCGCCCAGCTTTAGTTATGCCTCCTAATTTTAAACACATCCCTTTGTGTTTATTGGATAGAACTTTGGTCTGTTTCTTCTGGTGCAGGGTTGAACCAGGGCCATCTGCATGATAAACAAAGAGTTACATCCCCAGCTCCATCCAATGTTTCTTCAAGACACGTCGTATCTTGCAACCCATTGTCCTGTCCTTTATATTTATTTGTTTGTTTGCTTGTTGTTTGTTTTGTTTTGAGACAGGGCCTCAATATGTACATCAGACTGGGTTGAACTCAGAGATCTTCCTGCCTCTTCTTCCTGAGTGCTAGGATTAAAGGTGTGCACCACTTGCCGGGCGGTGGTGGCGCACGCCTTTAATCCCAGCACTCGGGAGGCAGAGGCAGGCGGATCTCTGTGAGTTTGAGGCCGGGCTGGACGACAGCCTCCAAAACAATACAGAAAAACCCTGTCTCATAAAACCAAAAAAAAAAAAAAAAAAAAGGTTGCACCACCACCTCACCACCTCCCAGCAACAAAACTGTATTTTAAAACAAGTTTTTTTGGGGGGATTGGAGAGATGGTTCAGCAGTGAAAAGCACTGGCTGCTCTCCCATAGGTCCTGAGTTCGGTTCCCAGCACCCACATGGTGGCTCACAGCAATCTGCCATGGGATTTGATGCCCTCTTCTGGTGTGCACTTGTGCGTGCAGACAGAGCACCATATACACAAATACATAAATAGATCTTTATGCTTTTTAGGTTTATTTGTGTGTGTGTGTGTGTGTGTGTGTGTGTGTGTGTGTGTGTGTGTGTGTAGTGCATGCCTCGTGCCTGCGGAGGTCAACCGGGCTATCTGATCCCAGAACTGGAGTTACAGATGGTTGTGGGCCCACGTGTGGGTTTTGGGAACCAAACCTGGGTCCTCAGCAAGAGCAGCAAAGTGCTTATCTTGGTGTCATCAATCCAGCATCCCACCTGCCGTCTTATAAGTTCTAACAGTCAAGCTCCAGGACCTGCAGACTTTGAGCATGTGGGCTATGTGGGAGTGTGCCTTACTGTCGGAGAACAGCCCTGTGACCTCTCCTATGCCAGATCCTGTTGGGGTACCCCGAATTGAGGAGGGGTCCCCAAGCTGGATTCGTCACCCCAAGAATCAAGAGTCCACGCGCCAATTGATGCAACACGCAAGAGGCTTTAATTAGGCATCTGCAGATGGGCCTCTCGGTCAGCTTTCAGACCGATTGGCCCCGAGGTTCAGTTACAATCAGCTTTTAAAGACAAAAACCACAAGCTTTTGTGAGGGGTCCCTATCTTGTGATGGGGGAAGGGGGTACGTGACTACTGACCAGGGGAAGTAGATGTCTTCCTGACCTACATGTTGTAAAATCCTCAAACCTTGGTATGAGTTAATCATCTCTCCCTAAGTAAATGGTGTTATCATCTCCTTGTTTCCCACAAATCTTGTTTGCCCATCTCTGACGCCCTGGTCAGTTCTTCACAGGTGGTCAGCAGCCCGGAATTGGCCTTTTGTGGGTTTACAGCCCTTCTACAATTAAGGTTGCTAAACCATACATTCCATTCTGTGGCTTGGCCAGTTCCTGGGATGGGGTCCTTTGTTCACTTCCCAAGTTCTCTAGTGGGGTGCCCTCCCTGTTTACGCTTATATTTTATTTCTATAAATTCTGGGTCTTTCAATCCAATATCAGATTCCGAAATCTAACTTGTATGTGCTGTGTATATGCAAGTTTGCGTGCCTGTGGGTGTGCTCGTGCAGGCTGGGGCTCAACGTCATTGGCTCTTCCTTGAGTACTCTCCTGTGTTAACAAGACAGGGTTTCCTGGTGAACCTACCCCAGTCCAGCCAGCCAGCTTGTTCCATCAGTCCTGTCTCTACCTTCTAAACTCTAGATTATGGGTGGGCCCTTTCTGTGAGTGCTGGGATTCATGCTTGGGCCCTCAGGCTTGCACATGAGTGCTTGATCCAACAAGCCCTTGATCTCCCACACCCTGGATGCTGCAAATGCAGTGTGAAATGCTTGCTAAATATTATGCCTGCCATCAGAGTTGACTGCCCAGACACTCTCACAAAATCAAGCCTGTAAAAGGAGTTAGTTTGTTTTTTTTTGTTTGTTTGTTTAGTTTTTCGAGACAGGGTTTCTCTGTATTGTTTTGGAGGCTGCCCTAGAACTCACTCTGTAGACCAGGCTGGCCTCGAATTCACAGAGATCTGCCTGCCTCTGCCTCCTTAATGCTGGTATTAAAGGTGTGCACCACCAATGCCTAGATGTAAATGGAGTTCTTAATTGTCTAAATAATAAAAATCCGGAGTAATATATAGAAGAAAATGCTGAGAGATCAGAGAAGGAGCAAGCCACAGCCACCTTTACCTCCTTAGCTTCCCAGCAGACAAGAGAGCACATTCCTGTTTCCTCCTGCAAATATCCTCTCTCCACCCAGCCATCTCACTTCCTGTCTGTCTGCACACACCTCCAGACCTCTATGGTTAGCTGGTGGCAAACTCCACCCTCTGATAATCAGGCTTTATTTGTACAAGGAGATATCACCCACAAGCCAATCAACATTCCCTCTCAATGGGTGGGTCATCAGACCACATCTAAGATCCTGGACACTCCCTACTGCCAGCCTCAACTCAGCAGTCTCCAGACATGCTAGAGTATAGAGGTGGGGTGTTAACTGAAGGTAGGACTTCATGTGAAGCGTCTCCATTATGCAGCTGCTGTAAAATGAATCAAATACTGGTTCACCGGGCTGGAATTGAATGCCATCCTTCCTGTCTCTCAGTGGATGCTGATGGAGTACCACGGCTCCTGGAGTGATCTGAATGAGAAATGTTCCCATAGGCCAGAGTGTGTGAGTGCCTGGTGCCCAGCTGGGGGTGCTGTTCCCCTTGCTAGAGGAAGTGTGCCCTGGGACCAGGCTTTTCCATGAGAAGCCTCATCCTGCTTCTGTCTTTGCTTAGTGCTCATTGCTGAGCATGTGGGTTCTCAGCTTCCTGCTTCTGCTGCCACTCCTCCTCGGCACGATGGGCTCTCTCCCTCTGGCACTGTAAGTCAAAATATACTCTTCCTTAAGCTGCTTCCAGTCATGGTTTGTTTGTTTTTAAAATCACAGCAACGAAAAAAGTAATTAATATAGCTTCCCGGAAAAAGTCACTAAACACTCAGCTACATTTCCATATTTTAAGTACCTCTTTAAAAGAGTATTACTGGGAGCCGGGCGTTGGTGGCGCACGCCTTTAATCCCAGCACTCGGGAGGCAGAGGCAGGCGGATCTCCGTGAGTTCGAGGCCAGCCTGGTCTACAGAGTGAGTTCCAGGACAGCCTCCAAAGCCACAGAGAAACCCTGTCTCGAAAAACCAAAAAAAAAAAAAAAAAAAAAAAGAGTATTACCGGTGATGGTGGCATATGCCTTCAGTCCCAGTCCCAGCACTCAGGAGGCAGAGGCAGGTAGAGCTCTGAGTTTCAGGACAGCCTGATCTAAGGAGCAAATTCCAGGACAGTCAAAGCTACATAGAGAATTCTTGTCTTGAAAAACCAAGAAAAAAAGTATAGTTTCCCCTCTTGCTTTTATGGGCTTTGCAGTTTTCCACATGGCCTGTGGACCAGGAAGCACGTGAGCCGTGATGGACACGGGACAGTGAGCCCACAGTAATTGCCAGAAGCAGCTTCAGGACAATGCAGCTGGCTGTGGTGGTGCAGGTTTTGATCCCAGCACTTGGAGGCTGAGGAGGCAAAGGGATCAAGTTCAAGACCAGCCTGGGCTACATAGTAAGATATTATCTCAAACAAGCAAGACATAATGACACTGCAGTTGTGGATAGGGTAGGCATGTGGGAGATACGGGGGGAGGTCATTGGTGTCTTCCCATCCTCTCTAGTGAGGACACCTCAAGCCCTGACATAAAATGTACAAGTCACCATGTTCAACAAAATTGAGACAAACCCACCACAAACAATTCTAAGGTCTTACTTGTTGGTGCTGGACAGTCAGTGAACACCCTGGAAGGCTGATGGATCATGTAGGCTCGACTTCCCTTGGATTTGGAATGGGAAGTATCTGTAGCTCCCTCCCATCCAGTAGTGAAAACTGGTGCAGGCTGTCAAATCTCCTAACAAGGATGCTGAGTCGGGGTAGGGCAGCGTGAAGTGTCAACTCTGCTCAGGTGTAGAGGTGGCCCCAGATTCCCGTTGTCCTCAAGATGCCACTGTGAGTGGATCTCAGGTTTCCACAGTGTTCTGAAGAGGTGGTTGGGATCAAGAAAAAGATGCCTTTTTAAGTTTTAAATGCAGTGTGCTTCCAACATTCCAAGGTCACTGAAGAGTCAACTCTTTTTATGTCATTTGAGGGCCAACAATGCAGATCCCAGATACACATGCAAGGTGCTTGTTAGGGATAGACACGTGCTGAGAAGCAGGCCCTCCACCTCCCAGAGTTTAAGGATCTCCAAAGCTGACACACAGCACACAACATGCCACAACTACCACATAGTGTGAGATAATGCTCCTGTACCCTGTAAAGATTACAACTACCACATAATGTGGGATGATGCTCCTCTACACCGTGAAGATTTGTCGCTCTATTAGTTTACTAAAATGCTGACTGACCAGTAGCCAGGCAGGAAGTATAGGCAGGGCTACCAGACCAGGAGAATGCTGGGAAGAGGAAGGCAGAGAGTGAGTCTCCAGCCAGATGCAGAGGAAGCAAGATGAGAGTGCCTTACTGAGAAAATGCACCAAGTCATGCGGCTAAACACAGATAAGAATTATGGGTAAATTTAGGTTGTAAGAGTTTGTTAGTAATAAACCTGAGCAATAAGCCAAACAGTTTATAATTAATGTAAGCCTCTGTGCGATTGTTTGGGACTTAATGGCTACAGGACTGGGCAGGACAGAAACTTCTGTCTACAACCATGAACAATCCTCATCTAACTGGCATTCTGCCTAAGGAACCTACTTAGCCATGGTTTCCAGATGCTGAGGGAGGGGTGTGAAATTCTACTGGAGACACACTGTGTTCTTCCTAGGCCTGTGGACCTCGTTGCTGGGTCAAGACAACCAGTGAATACCACATGGTTTATAGCTTACTGGTCAGTGTTGCCTGGGACCAGCCCTGCCATCTGGGACCACCAAGTAGCCCATGCGCACTACCCTACAAGGCTGATGCAGTCAGGAGACACTGCTGGCCACTCACCCCCAGGGAAACCTGTAAGTCTGAGAAGGGAGTGAGATGAAACTCCCTTCAATGTCCCCGAGCCAACTGTGGGAAGTTGCCTAAGTGACAAGCAGTCAGGGATGCAGAGCTTATCCATGATGTGCTATAACTCTTTAGAGGAGGCAGGACAGAGATGTCGGCCTGACCAAGAGCACAGTACAGGAAGCAGGCTAACTTTTGAATATCAACTGGACAAAACCACAACCAAGCACCTGGACAGCCTGCTCTGGCTTAACATAACAGGTAGCTGTGGTGATATATTGTTTATGATCTAATGAAGCTACTGGAGATCAGTTTGCAAAGCCAGCCACACCAGTTAGCTATAGAAACTAGGCAGAGGTGGCATATGCTTTTAATCTCCTGACTCAGGAGATAGGCAGATGGATCTGAGTTCAAGGCCACCCTGATCTACACAAGAGTGAAGAGTAACAGAGCTCACGCCTTTGATCCTAGCCCTTAGGTCACAGTCCTTTAATCCCAGCACTAGGGAGGTGGAGACGGGAGGATATGGCTGGGCAGAGAAAGGAATAAAAGCAGAAGGATACAGGAACTGAGAGCTTTTGCCTCTGAGGATTTTGGAGACAGGACTGCCATTTCAGCTGGGTAGAGGAAAGATCTACTAGCTTGGTTGCTTTGCTTCTCTGATCTTTAGCTTGAAGCCTGAACCCCAATATCAGTCTCTGTCTGGGTCTTTTATTTTTTGTGTTACAAGCAACAGTTAGCAAGTAGCTCACAGTTCACTGCCAAGTTCTGGCACAGTTAACATCACACAGCTATCATGAAGGGAAAGCATTATGGAGGGTTATAGCCAGGTCTGCGGGCCGGAGGGCAGCTCAGTGGGGAAAATGCTTGCTGCTCAGGTAGGACAACATCCCTCAGTGTCCACATAAAAGCCAGGCACTGTGGCACACGCTTATCTGATCATGGAGGAGAGTCACAGAGGAGTAGATGACCTCAGCTTCCTGGCCACACATTCTAGCAATTAGTGAGCACCAGGCTTAGTGAAGACTCCATCTCAAAGGGGGGGAAAAAAGGTAGAGTGTGACAGAGGACCATTGATGTCTACCTCTGGCCTTCACATGCACACACAGGCACCCACTTGCAGATACATACACACACACCACAAACAAAACCAGGTAGAGGCCAACTGGTTCTGGAAAGTCACTCAAAACTCAAGTCTGTAGGTCCTGGTGGTACAAACTTGTAATCCCAGCTATTTGGGAGGCTGAGGCAGGAGGATGGAAAGTTCAAGTTCAGCCTGGACAAAGTGAGGCTGTCTCAAAGAGGGTTGGGGAGGCAGTTCAGCACTTGCCTAGCTCTGGCTAGGTTTAATCTCCAGATCTCCAAAACTGCAAACCACTCAAGTCAAAGTGTGTACTCCCCACAGACACAAGGCATTGCACTCCAACAACAGGCCACTCTGCGACCGCACCCACCTGTGAAAAGCCTTCCCAGCTCCACTCATTGAACACTGACAGACACCTGGCAGCCCCTAGGCAAGAAGGTGAAGGTGCATTTTTGTTTATCCAGGTTTGTATTGTGTAAGTGCAGGGGATGTCATCTGCATCTAGAGGGTGCACGTCCATTCATTGTCTCCTGACCTGCAGAAGTCCAGACAAATTGCTGTGTTGGAACTACCAACTCGATGGCATGAATGCAGATGCCGGGTCTGGTGGAAGTGACCCAGCCTGAATGAAATCGCGCAGGTGGGATCAGCACCTTTGTAAGAAGAAAACAGAGCTCCAGCGCCTCTCATGTTTGCCCGGATGCTCTCTCACCAGGAAGCCAGATGCTGCATTCTGATCTCCGAGCCTCCAGGTCTGTGGGAAAAAAAGTGTTTCTGTTTAAGCCACTCTGGTATTCTGTCATGGCTTCTAGCACAGGCTAACTCTGAACAATGATCAGTATGTACAGATTAACTTAAAACAAGGAATTACTGAAACTTCAAACACACACAACCTAACACCCATTGTTATGGCTGAAAACTTGCTTTTTCCAGGGCGGAGGGTGTTGCTGAGCTGGTGTAGTGCCTAGTATAGTGCTTGCCTAGCATGCACCAAGTCCTGGATTTGACCCCCAGCACTGCAGAAACCAGGTGCATTGTGGTACACAACTATAATCTTAGTATTCAGGAGGTGAAAGGAGGGTCAGAAAGTCCTGATGTTCGTGTCTGTCCACTTTAGGAGTTCGAGGACAGGCTTGGCTTAAGTAGGTCTTTAACACTGGAGCAATGGCTCAGGGGTTAAGAGCACTTACGGTTCTTGCAGAGGCCCTGAGAACTGTTTCCAGCACCTATGCTCGCAACCGTCTGCAAAGTCAGTTCCAAGGTGCTTGAGTCTCTTCTAGACATTCATAGGGAACGGCACACACACACAAAATTTACACATAAAAAATTTAAAATCTTTAAAACTTGGAAGCCTTAGAAGCCTGGTGTGGTGGTGCATGCCTTTAACCCTAACACTCAGGAGACAGAGGCCAGCCTGGTCTACAAAGCGAGTTCTAGGACAGCCAGGATTGTTACACAGAGAAACCGTCTCACCGCCACTCCCAAAGAACAAAAACAAAACCAAAACACAACTTGGAGTAGCTTATTAAGATCTCAGCTCCGCCGGGCGGTGGTGGCGCATGCCTTTAATCCCAGCACTCGGGAGGCAGAGGCAGTCAAATCTCTGTGAGTTCGAGGCCGGGCTGGACGACAGCCTCCAAAACAATACAGAGAAACCCTGTCTCGTAAAAACCAAAAAAAAAAAAAAAAAAAAAAAAAAAAGATCTCAGCTCCACCTGACTTACTGGGTCTTCTGGTATCATCTCCTATTGGGTTCGGCTCAGCACTTTCTCAGAAGTTTGATCTTCTGCTTCCTTTTCCTTTAAACTCTTTCCAATTCCATGTGCTTTTATTGTTTTGCTTTGTTTTTCTGCAGCTTTGGAGTTTGTCCTGTAACTTGTTCTGTAGACCAGGCTGGCCTTGAACTCACAGAGATCCACCTGCCTCTGCCTCCCAAGTGCTGGGATTAAAGGCATGCGCCACCAACGCCCGGTCCCATATGTATTTTAATAAGTTATTCTTTTAAATTTCATTTTACATTCCAATCACAGTTCTCCCTTCCCCCCCCCGCCCGCCCCCCTCGCCTCCCCCCAACCCTTATCCTCACAGATAAGGGCTCCCATGAGGAGTCAACATAGTCTAGTATAATAAGTTGGGGCAGGGCCAAGCCCCTCTCCCATGCATTAAGGCTGAGCATGGCATCCCGCCATAGGGAACAGGCTCCAAGGGAGCTAGCTCACGTACCGGGTTTGTATTGTGGTCCCACTGCCAGGGGCCCCCTCAGGTAGTCCAGCTTCACAACTGTCTCCCACATACGGAGGGCCTAGTACAGTTTCCTAGAGTCTCCACGACTGTTGGTCTGTTATGCCCAAGTCTCAAGGATCCCCAAAGACCACCAGGGAGACAGACTCACCGATGCAAATGCACAAGGCTTATTTTCTATCCTACTACGGGAGGGACTATTTAGCAAGCTGACACAGCAGCCTTCAGAGGGAGTGAGTTCCTTGTCTACTGGAGGATTTTTAAAAGAAAAAACTGCAGGGTTACATCAGCGGGAGGGGAGACATACGGATGGATAGGTTCCTGATTGGTTGATATTTAGGGGAATTTTTCAAAGTCTTATTTTGGCATGGAATACCCGTGTACCAATTATTCTCATTGGTTGGTGCTGGGAGTGAACATTCCATGGTTTCTATGGCTTTGTCTGTTACTTGCAGGTGGCCTGTTGTACACAGATACCAATAGTTTTCACAACTGTATCCTGGAGACTACAGGAGAGGGGTTTTTGTCTCTCCTGGAGTTTCTTGTGGCAGAACAGTTTCCGGGAACTAAGTATCCTAGAGGCTGGGGGTCTGGAGTCCTTTGTGTTCAGTTTTGGCCCCAGGCATGTTGCATACAGCACAGTCTCCTGGAGCTAAGGTTCCTAGAGGCTAGGCGGGGAGGGTTTGGTCTGGAGTTTTGGCCCTTCAGGCCTAGAGTTCATGAGTTTCCACGAGTTTGATTCAGCTGTCTCTAGGTTTCCCCATCATGGTCTTGACCTCCTTGCCCATGTTCCCTCCTCCTCTGACTGGATTCCTGGAGCTCGGCATCCCGTTCCATCAGTTACTGGATGTGGGATGGTTGGGGTATTCACCAATCTGATTAGAGGTAGGCCTGTTTGGGCATTCTCTCCACCGTTGCTAGGAGTCTTAGCTGGGGTCATCCTTGTGAATTCTTGGGGACTATGTAGCACCAGGTTTCGCCCTAACCCCGTTGTGGTTCTCTATTCTCTTCATTGCTCTCCCACTGCGTCCTTCCCCCCTCAGCCATGCTGACCCCTTACCCTCCCCCCTCAGCCATCCCGACCCCTTACCCTCCCCCCTCAGCCATCCTGACCCCTTACCCTCCCCCCTCAGCCATCCTGACCCCTTACCCCCCCACCCCCAATTTATCCCTAGATCTCATCTAATTTCCCTTCCCAGGACGATCCATGGGTCCCTTACGGTCATCCTTGTTACCTAGCTTCTCTGGAGCTGTAGATTGCAGTCTGGTTATCCTGTTTTACATCTAATATTCTCTTATGACTGAATACATATGTGTTTGTCTTTCTGAGACTGGGTTACCTCACTCAGGATGGTTTTGTTTTACTTCCATTTATTTTTTAAACTGGAACTTTGAGACAAGGTTTCCCTGTGTAGTCCTGGCTGTCCTGGAACTCCAGAGTGCTGCTGCTTCTCTCAGTGCTGGGATTAAAGGTGTGCAACACCATCCGGAAACTGACTGGAACTTTTTTTTTTTTTTTTTTTGGTTTTTCGAGACAGGGTTTCTCTGTGGCTTTGGAGGCTGTCCTGGAACTAGCTCTTGTAGACCAGGCTGGCCTCAAACTCACAGAGATCCGCCTGCCTCTGCCTCCCAAGTGCTGGGATTAATGGCGTGCGCCACCAACGCCCGGCTGACTGGAACTTTTAAAAATCAGATGGATAGGTGTTTTCCCTGTATATACATCCCAACACCACATGCATGCCTGGCGCCCACAGCGGTTAGAAGAGGGGTTGTTGTGGAATAATCTTTTTGTACACTGTGAAGATGTGTCTTTGCCAAGGTACCTTCTGATTGGTTTAATAAAGAGCTGAATGGCCAATAGCTAGGCAGGAAGAGTTTAGGCAGGACTTCCAGAGACAGAGGACACGAAGCGGGAACAGGTGTCAGATGGAAGAGAGGTACAGGCCACCAGGCAAAGCACAGGTGAACACAAATGTGTTAATGTGAGTTACAGGAGCTAGTGAGACAAGCCTAAGCTAGAGGCCCAGCTCTAATAAGTCTGTTTTTTGTGAGCTGGAGGCCCAAAGAAAAAGTTACATAGGATGTTGTATCCCCTGGAACTGGAGTTACAGACTGCTGTAAACAGCCGTGTGGGTGCTGTTATTTAAGCCTGGATTCACAGGAAGAACACTCAGTACATTTAATGGCTAAGCTATCGCTCCAGACCCCTGGAATTCTTTCAAAGTATAATCTGCAAAGCTAGAGATAACCTGATTTCCAGTGGATACAAGTGCTTGATTCCTTGAACAGCTTTCTGAATGCAGACCTGTGCCCAGGAGATCCATCTGGGAAAATGAGGAACCTGCCCAACTCCATTCTGATGGCACGAGCCATTATGCTGAATACTTAAAAATTTCTATTTACTGTCAGAGTTGAGCTGCTCTGGCTCCAGGAACATGACCTTTCCCAACCCATGATCTTGATTTATCTTGCTCCTTAAAAGGGGGCCAAGAGATAGATTCAGGGCTGCTCTCTTCATTCCACCTTAGAAGGCAGCCACTGGTCAGCTCTTGGTGCAACCCAATTTAAGAAAAAAAAAAAAATCAAGGTTGCTTCAAATTTGGCTCAAATTGTGATAGTGGTCTTATTCTTGCCATTGAGATTAATGTGAGTTGACACGCTGATTTAGAACACAGGGTTCCCACACCTTTGGGAAATAACCTTACAGTTACACTTTAATGAAACCAAATAAATACAAGCAAAGGCCCAGTATCTCTAGCTGAAGAAGCTGAGAAACAGTGCTGAGGATACTTTAGCAAACTTGTACCACCCATGTGGACTTGCAGTTTGTTGCTGTTCCCACACATGCCCAAACACTAGCTACCCCAGTATGAATCCAGGTCTTTATGTAGCCCTTAGCAAGGGTGTTTGTTTCTATGGTCACCTGTGAAGGTTGGAGAGGATTTTTTTTTTTTGGTGTTGGAGAGGATTTTTATCTTCATTTATTTGAGGATTTTTATCTTCATTTATTTATATATTTATCTGTGTCTCCATGCACACATGTGCTGCGGAAACTCAGAGAACGTACGGCATTGGTTCTCCCTCTGACCGTGTGGGTCCCTGGGAACCACCTGGGTTTTCAGGTTTTGCAGCAAGTGCCTTTACCCACTGGGCCATCTTGCCAGCTCTAAGCGTGAGCTTTACTTCTGCCCAACCCTCAAGCCTCCCTCCCACAGACAGGAGACATGGTGAAGTGTAAAGTGCGCACAAGTGACACTAGGGACAGCTGCTGCCCACCCTGCCTGCATACTTCAAGTCCCCTTCCCTGTGCTAATGTCCTGGCAGAGCCTCCAGACTCGGAAGCTACAAACAGTTCATTCAAGGACCACATGGCTTCTAGGCTTGGGAGCACCTGCCGCGGTTCTTCCGCGGCCCAGATGAGGCACGTCTACACTTCCCCACGCCCGTGAGTCCTCTGATGCCGAGTGAAAAAGCCCAGGTGGCGGAAGCCCTTCCCACAGTGCTCGCACTCATAGAATCTCTTTGTCAAGTGCAGCCTCTGGTGGATGCTGAAGCCCTTGGGCCACCTGAAGGCCTTCCCACACTGGCCACAGGTATAGGGTTTCTCTCCACTGTGAATCCGCTGGTGGTGGCTGAGGTTCTCTTTGGTACGAAAGGCTTTCCCACAGCTGTCACAGTAGAATGGCCTCTCTCCAGTGTGAACAAGCTTGTGCCGGAGGAGGTTTGACTTCTGTTTGAAGGCCTTCCCACAGTCACTGCACACATATGGACGGTGTTCCGTGTGGATTTTGCGATGCTGTGCCAGGCGGTCCTTCAAGCTGAAGGCCTGTCCACATACCTCACAGCAGAAGGGCTTTTCACTTGTGTGGTTCCTCTGGTGGCGCAGAAGGTTTGAGACCCAGCGGAATGTCTGGCCGCACTCAAAGCACTCAAAGGACCTGGTTCCAGTGTGCACTGTCTGGTGAGCAGCCAGGCGGCTGTGGCAGCTCAGTGCCTTCCCACAGGTGCCACAGATGAAGGGATGGCCCTCTGCGCCACTCCTGCACTGCTCCTTGAGGCCTAGCTGCTTCCTGCAGGGTTTCCCACACAGCTGATTCTGGAAAGCTTCCTGTTTGTCCATTTTCTTCCCAGAGGTGGCTCTGGGAAGGTGCACCTTACCCGATGTCAGGACACTCTTCTTCAAGGTAGCCCCTCTCTTGGCTCCTGTCCGAGGAAGGGCCCTCTCCTGAGCCGAAGCCAGATCATGAGGTCTCTTATGATCTATGGACTTTCTGCCTCCTGTGGTAGAACAGACACATTTACACAGAACTGGCCCAGGGACAAGTCAACTTACAAAGCAGCTATCCTACAAAAGATGAAGAAAAATCTATCAAGTGTCCAATCAACTTAATCTATTTAGGGAAGTGGAGAGAGAACAGCATGGAACTGTGAAGCATATATGTTCCATGTACTCAGATGAGCCAAAACTACCAAGACGTAAGGCGAGCCGTGCTCACCTGACCCAGACAGTAGAAGACAAGGGCCTGGTACTCCGACCCAAAAGAATCCACGAGTGTTCACTAAACTTGTGGCACTTCAAGTAACAGGCCTTATTCCTACCATGGAGGTGGACCTGGGGCAGGTCCTGAGAGCTAGCTCTCTGCAATTAGAACCACTCACCCTCTGAGCCATAAGCTTCCTGCAAACAGAGGCCTGATACACTCTGCAGCCGGGGCTCCACATAATCTGGGGGCCCTCCCAGCTTGTCTCAGGTAGACAAAACTGCTTGGTCTCACTTCTGGGAGGCTATGAAGGAAAAAAACAAAACCCAGGGCAGAGGTGCAGCTCAAGAAATGCTTGCCAAAGCCTTGAGCTCTACGCCTGTCATGACAAAAAGAAAGCAAAAGCTCCTTGACCACCGGGAACATGTTACTAAGGAAAAAGCCAGGGCTTTTATTGCTAATGTTACAAATGAGCAAACACACGTGAAACAGAGAACCTGCCCCGGTATCACAAACCTGCAACATGTCAAATCCAGTCAGACAGACATGCACACACTCCCTGTGCCCGCCAATGGCTATCAGTCAAATCGCAGACAGCGCGAGGACACTGCCTCCTTTTCTGCCCTCCACAGCCTCACCGCAAGGGTCCACTGACACACGGACACATCCCTCCCATCAGAGCTTAGTGGCAGAAGTATGCCACTCATGCACCTCCAGTCCCTAATTAGGCACCCTGTGGGATGGAGCGGTGACTCAGAGGGTTATGAGCACTGGCTGTTCTTCCAGAGGTCTTGAATTCAACTACATGGCAGCTCACTATCTTTTTTTTTTTTTTTTTTTGGTTTTTTTATGAGACAGGGTTTCTCTGTATTGTTTTGGAGGCTGTCGGTCCAGCCCGGCCTCGAACTCACAGAGATCCGCCTGCCTCTGCCTCCCGAGTGCTGGGATTAAAGGCGTGCGCCACCACCGCCCGGCAGCTTACACTATCTTATAATGAGACCTGATGCCTTCTTCTGGCATGCAGGCAGACAGAACATAGTAAGTAAATAAATCTTTAAAAAAAAAAAGGTGTTATACATCCACTGAAAGGTTCAGGGATTACGCTGGCCTGCCCTGTCACCTGGCAGAATGCACTGAGGCAGCACTCTGGCCAGCCCAGAGTTCTGTGAGAACCAGCCTGCACTCAGATGCAAAGGACCCCTTTAAAGGACAGACCCCTGCCCCCCCCAATCTTCCTCTGCCTCTTGTCTTCCTCTCTCATCCTCTCTCTCTCTCTCTTTCTCCCTCTCTGTCACGTCTGTCTCCCCCCTTCAGTCTCGCTATAATAAACTATGGTTAACATGCTCTCCGCGGCTTGTGCTGTGCCTCACGGTCCTTATCCCATAGTTAACAACACCCACTCTCTACCACTGAGTCTGTCTGAGGGTGGGAAAAGCGGCCTTCATCGGTGTGGGGAATGGGACGGGCCAACCAAGAGCAGCCCACCCTCCATGCTGCTTACCTGGGCAGACACCTTTTCCTGCTTCTAGAAACTCAGGTCTGTCCTGATCTTCAACCCATGGTTCATCCCACTGTTCCAGGTGAGAAATGAGGTCTGGTCTAGGGCCGCAGTATCCTTTTCAAAAAGTGAGAAACAGTATCTGATTAGTGTAATGACAATGTAAGGCCAGGACTCAGGCTAGCTCTGGGCAGCACAAGATGACCCCAGCAGCCCGGTGAGCCCTTGCAGACGCCCTGGAGAAGCTGCTGGAAGTAGGGATGAGGAAGACAGAGGCTTACAGGAGGGAGGAAGGAGAGTGCCTGCCTGTGCATGAGTGCACACATGCTGACACCAAGCCCCATGCAGGGACCAGGGGTTTGAGGAAAGACGTCAGGGTACCTCCAGGAGCCAAGAGATGCCCTCGGTCAGACACAACACACGGGACCTTTATCTAGGACCTACCAGGCTCCAGAAACTAACATGCAGTCTTACCCAGTTCAAGGAAGTTCCTGAAGATTTCTAGCATCACGTCCCGGTAGAGGGTTCTCTGGCCAGGGCTGAGACACTCCCATTCTTCCCTGCAGAAGTACACGGCCACATCTCTGAAGGTCACTTCCTGACACACAGATGGCTCCAGGACTGCCTGCTACTGAGTGAGAATGAGTCAGAAAAAGCATGCTAAAGCCCGTACACTGGACACGAAGAAGGGGTGGGGTGGGTGATGATCTCTGCGGTGATTAATATTCTTTGAGAATCACCGAGGAGACACACCCTGTGGATGTGTTTGTGAGGGTGTTTCCACAGAAGTTTAACCAACCCTGAATGTATAGACTCTCATCCCATGGGTGTGGTTCCAGTCTCATGGGAAGGAAGACAGGCAGCTGACATCAGCATTACTTCTCTGCCTCCACAATGGTCTGTGTCCTTCAAACTGTGAGCCTAAACAAACCTTCTTCCTTTGAGTCCCTTTTGTCACAATCACAAGAAAAGTGACTGATGCAGAAAACATCCTCACTGTGCTGGGCATATAATTCTCCAGCCGTCCTGTGCCAGCTGAAAATGAAATATGGAGTCACAGTGGTGCTCACCTTTAATCGAAACACTCAGGAGGCAGAGGCAGGTGGATCCTTGAAGTTGAGGCCAGCCTGGTCTACAGCGTGAGTTCCAGGACAGACAGAACAACACAGAAAAACAAAAACCCCAAAACCAAAACAGAAAGAAAGAAAATGAACCATCGTGAGCTGCCCCTTGTTTGGTTACAGACACAGCATGACCTTCCTTCTGGATCATCCATTTGCTATCAAGAAGGTGAGGTAATCCTGATTCTGTAGTCAGGACAACAAAATAAGCACACAAGAGGGTAATAACTAGGTGCACTGTGGTCAGTCAGGGCCACCTCTCTCTAGCAGGAGGGAAGTCTGCTTGTGCTCAGCTGCCCCTCTCCTTTTCACTTGGTCCAGTTAGTAAAACCATGCTACCCACATTCAGGGTGGATATTTCCACTCAGCTAACCAGTCAAGAACTGCCGTGTCCACTGTGGGGTGGCGGCACATGCCTTTAACCCCGCACTTGGGAGGCAGGGGCAGGTGGATTTCTTGAGTTCAAAGCACTGATGGAAAGAAATAAGGATGGTTATGCTGGTACGGTGGCACACACCTTACAACCGGGGTCCCTCTGGACGAGCTGCAAGAACCCAACCCGAGTCATCTCTCCAGCCCCTCGTACACACCTTTAATCCCAAGATTACAAGGCAGAGACAGTCAGATCTGCCACAACGATCTACTTATCTAGTTCTGGGCCAGCCAAAGCCACACAGTAAGATCCTGTCTCTAAGCAAACAAAAACTCTTTAAAATTAAATTAAAGGTTGGGTTGGGCGTTGGTGGCGCACACCTTTAGTCCCAGCACTCAGGAGGCAGAAGCAGGTGGATCTCTGAGTTCGAGGACAGTCTGGTCTACAGAGCGAGTTCCAGGACAGCCAGGGCAATAGTTGTTCTCTACAGAAACTCAATCTCAAAGACAAAGAGTTCAAGGCCAGGTGTCCCAGTTACATTCTGCTGCCGTGATAAAATTCCGTTAAAAAAAAAAAACAATCTAGAAAAGAAAGGCTTATTGAGCTTACAATTCCAAGTTACAGCCCACTGTGTGCGGGAGTCAAGGCAGGGGTTTAAGATAGCCAGCCACATCCTAGTCAAATGCAAGAAGGAACATATAAAATGTTTATAACTCTGGCTTGCTCTCACTAATCTTCCAGAGTCCACGGCCTGTGTCTGCCCATATCAATTAAGCCAATCAAGGCAATGCCCCCACAGACATGCCTAGATAGGCCAATCTAAGCTTAGGACCCCTTACACAGACATTCTTCCCAAATGATCCTAGGTTGTGTCAAGCTGAGAAAGTGATCATTACACCTACTTTGCCTACACAGCTATGTCAAAGACAGCTTGGGATAGTTAAGACCCCGAAGCTCGGGAAACTCGGATCCGGGTAGTGACTGCCAACCTCAAACTCTGGTTAGTTGATAAAAGGAGAACATTGGCCCTCATCGGAACACCGGAACCGGTGCCCGCGAGCCTGAGAGCAGGGGAGCGTGGGAACTCCACCCAAAACCCGAAGACTGCAGTGCCCGCGAGGGGAAGGAGACCCGAGCGCGAGTGCCGTGAGGATGCAGGTGGGGAGAGGGTCCGTGCTCACCGGAGGGGCCTCGCGGTGAGCCCGCCCGGGAGAAGCGCTGCCCCGTCGGAAACAGCGCTCGCGTCGAGCCTCCCGGGGAGCGGCGGCGGCGAGATGAGCGCGCATCCGTAGGCCGCAGGCGGTGCCGGGGTCGGCCGGCTTCAGCGCGAGCGCGGTGGCACGGAGCAGGGCAGCCCAGACCTGCACGCCCGACCCGCGACCGACGATCGCCGCAGAGCAGCTGCAGCTTCAGTCCTCAGGCCGGCTGCGCGCCGCCTCGACTTCAACTCTCTAGCGGAAATACGCCAGAGGCCGAAGCCGCTTCCGGCAACTCTAGGAACCGCTACTCAGTGGTGCGCGCCCGGCGAAAGCGCTCGCTGAGCCGCCCCCAGAAGGCCCGCCCTCCGGGAGCCCCGCCCTCCGACTGCTGCGGGCAGGCGCGCCTGCGGTGCCCCTAGTTGGTGCGCACCTGTGTCCTTCACGCGCTTGCCCTGCTGTCCCTCCACCGAGGAGGCTGGTTGGGCTCTGGCGCTCCTGAGCCCTCTAGGAGGTTTTTTTGGTTTTGTTTAGACAAGGTTTTTCTGTGTAGCCCTGGCTGTCCTGGAACTCGCTCTGTAGACCAGGCTGTCCTGGAACTCAGATCCACCTACTTCTGCCTCCCGAGTGCTGGGATTTAAAGGCCACGATTCAAGTAATAACACAACATCCACTTTCTAATCCGTTGAGTGTACAAGTGGTGTATGGACCTGAAGTTTTTTTTTAATATTTATTTTATCTATTATGAATACAACATCCTGCCTCCATGTATGTCTGCATGCCAGAAGAGGGCACCAGATGTCATTATGGGTGGTTGTGAACCACCATGTGGTTGCTGGGAATTGAACTCAAGACCTCTGGAAGAGCAGTCAGTGCTCTTAACCTCTGAGCCATCTCTCCAGCCCATGGACCTGAAGTTTTGCGGTTTGCATCTTGAAAGCTGGTTATCATGCAAATCAGAAATGTTTCTGCCCAAAGAACTTTCCTCCAGTTCCTCTCCTGCAGCCAGGGCCACCAACGTTCTTTGTTTGAAATGTGTCCCACCACCTTCTCAACTTGATGTTTGCCAGGTTCATTCACGTGGTGGCTTGGGGCAGGATTTCCCACCTCGTTCTGTTCAATCATCGGTCAATGGACATTTGGGTCACTGTGATGCTAAATTTAATTCGAAAGAAACCCAAACTTGTAATTCTAGTTTAGTCAACACTTCATTCCACAAAATAAGATAGTCCCACTATCTATGAAGACAGGTGTGCATTATCTGTGCACATTCACTTCTTTGGGCTGTGTATTCAGGAACTAAGATTTCTGGAATTTTCTACATTATATATTAATTCTATGTTCGACACGTTGAGGAATCAGCACTGTCTACATCAGATGCACCTGTGCTCTGAGCAGCAGACCCGAGGTGTTCAAATCCCAAATCCTTACCAAACAAGTTAGTTTTCTTTTATTTTTTTAAGATTATGTAGACAATATTCTGCCTGTGTGTATGTCTGCATGCCAGAAGAGGGCACCAAATCTCATTACAGATCGTTGTGAGTCACCATGTGGTTGGTTGCTGGGGATTGAACTCAGGTCCTCCAGAAGAGCAGCAGTCAGTGCTCTTAACCTCTGAGCCATCTCTCTAGCCCCCCATGTTATTAGTTTTCTGATTTGGAGTTGTTTCTGGGCTTTTTGTTTTGCTTAAGTTGTAACCATCATAATTGATTTAGAGCAGTATGCTGTTGGAAACCCTCATCTTAGTGTTGCACAAAGTAGCACAGATCAAAGCCATAGTAGTCTGGCAAGGCAATTTCTTTTTGTAGGAAGGATGTGCCAGAACCGGAATCATTGTAACATAGTAAGTGGACTAGGCAATTCTAACGCAGGTGGTGACTGTCTGTCTGTCTCTCTTCTGTTGGCTGGGATCCACCTCAGTCTTTTGCCAGTGGCTTGTTTTAAAGGAATCAGTCAAAGGAAGTGAAGGGAGAATGGATCAGCCATTCCAGGCTGTCAAGTTCCCAGAATGCAGCAGGGCCTTTGTATACATATGTTTTACCAAGTAGGAGAAATGAAAAGGTTTGCATAAAAGCTTTATAGGGTGGGTAAGATTGAAGGTAAAGGGGAAACCCTCTCTCAAAACAAACAAACAAACAAAAACCCAAAGAGCCAGGCATGGCGGTGCAGGTTTTTAATCCCAGAATTTGAGAAGCAGAGGCAGGTGGATCTCGAGTTTGAGGCCAGCCTGGTCTACAGAGCAACCCCCTGGACAGTCTGAGCTACATCATAGAAAGAGCTTTCTGAAAAACAAACAAACAAACAAACAAACATATGATGATGGAGACTTTAAAAAATATCCGTTGGCAGGCAAGCTATTTTTTCCTTTTTGAGACAAGGTCTCATTATGTAATTCTGGTTGGCCTGGAAGGCTGGTGTTGTCTGTTTTATTCATTTCCCAATAGTGATTTTTGAAAGCGCTTATTGAGTTATTGAGTTTCAAGGGGGACACTGAGATGGATTATCCTTTTATAAAAGACTAGAATAGTAACACCACAGACAGGAGGTCGTAGCATGCAAGGGGCTCTATGTAGCATTCAGGCCTGCGTGGCCAAGCAGGGGTCTTTCTTACAGGTTTCAGAGGAAGAGGGTGAGAAGTAGATTAAGTTACCTTTTCCAGTTGTGGTTGGCCATTCTTTAAAATTTAATGTGTATGGGTGTTTTCCCTATGTGTCTGTCTGTGTACCAAATGCATGGCTTGTGCCCAGAAAGCTGTCAGAACCAGAGTTACAGATGACTGTGACCCATTATATGACCGCTGGGAAATGAACCTCTGGAAGAGCAGGCAGGGTAATTAATCTGAGCTCAGGTTTTTGTTTTGTTTTGTTTTGAGTACTGGGATCAAAAGTGTGCACCACCACCAGCTGGCCTCTGAGCTTAAAGCTTTCTCACACACACACACACACACGCACGCACGCACGCACGCACGCACGCACGCACGCGCGCGCGCGCGTGCGCGGGTGTGGGGAAAAGGGACTTTTGAAGTATGTTAGCTTTTCATTGCTGTGACAGCACATGTGAAACTGACATGAGGATTAGCCTTTGCTCACAGCTTCAAAGGGTTAATTTAGTCCATGGAGTTTGCTTCACTGCTGTGGGGCTGTGCTGAGGAAAACCCCTCTGGTAGCAGCAGCAGGTAATGCAGAAGGCTGCTCACACAATGGTGGCCAGGCAGAGAGACAATAGGGGGGAGGGGATAACCCTCTCCCAAGACTGACTTTCTCCAACCCAGCTCCACTTCCTAAGAGCCACTCAGATTATAGGTGGGAGCCAACCTGCCCAGTTTGGGAGTTTTATTTTTATTTATTATGTGTATGGGTGTTTTGCCTACATGTATCTGTATACCACATGTATTTCTGGTATCCATGAAGGCCAGAAGGCATTGGATCCCCTGGAACTCAAGTCATAGACAGTTATAAGCTACCGAGTGAGTGATGGGAATCAAACCCAGGTCCTCTGGAAGAGGAGCCGGCGCTCCTAACCACTGAGCCATCTCTTCAGCACCTTGGTAAGCTGCTTTGCAAAAGACCCATACAAAGGTCAGGCATGGTGTCCACACCTTTAATTCCAGCGTTCAGAAGGCAGAGACAAGTGGATTTCTGTGGGTCTGAGACCAATCTAGTTTACCTTGTCAGGTCCACGCCAGCAAGGGCTGCACAATCAGACTGTCCAAAAACAAACAATAAAACTAAAACTATACAAGTGGGGCATACCTATAATTTCAATACCTGTAAGGCTGACACAGAACTATCACTTAAGACCAGCTGAGCTGCATGGTAGTACCATCTCAAAACACAAAACAACAACAAAAGAGAATCAAGAATGGAGAGACAGGCGGATCACTCTGAGTTCGAGACCAGCCTGGTCTACCGAGTGAGTTCCAGGACAGGCTCCAAAACAATACAGAGAAACCCTGTCTCGAAAAACCAAAAAAAAAAAAAAAAAAAAATCAAGAATGGACTGACAATCCCAAGTGTTGGCAAGGACAGGAAGCGACATGGGCTTACACAAACTAGCAGGAACATGGGCCAGTACAGCATGAGAGCTCTGTGCAGCGACTTCCTACAAACCTAGTTCTCTCCTTGTCTACAGCTCTTACAAGGCCAGCACACTCCACACAGGATGCACGGCACCTTCTTACTCTCATCTGTTCCTCACAGATCTTAATACGCTTTCAAACAAGTAGTGTTACAAGAGGCGTAGAGCCTGGAGCTGCTAAAACAGAAAAAGGGGTGTGGTCATGAGGACACCGACCTCAAAGCAGTGGGAAGCTCTGGATGAGGGCGTGGTACACCTGGCGGAGGGCACTGCACACAGATTGTCAGCAGCTCTTAACAAGAGCACGTACCAACAGGACTTGGGGAGACGGTACTTCCTAGTAGAACAGATCACACTGATGACAAACAGAACAGCCCCCCACAAAAAGCAATATAGAATGGTAACAAGGTGTTGTACACATCTGTAATCCCAGCACTGAGGAAGCTAAAGGACGGCTATGAGTTTGAAGCTAGCCTGGGCTGCATGGTGAGAACCTGTCTCAAAAGGTAAACAAACAACAAAACAAATAGAAAAAAACAGACGGATAACGGATATGCCAATTGCACAGACTTGGGTTTTTATTGTTTATTGTCATGTGCTAGACACTAGGGACATAGGAATCAATGACACATGATCACTGTCCTCGGGGAACAGAGCACAATGAAAAAGAAAGAATTCGAAACTGTGAAATTTAAAAGCAAGTGCAGCAGCAGAGGTTAGCACTGAGAAACAACCACAGGACACAGACCCAGCTCAGTACCAAGGAAGCATTTTGGGGCATGGTGCCTGAGAGAGGCCTCACATAATAACCAGGAACAGCTTGGACAAGGCGAGAGACCATGAGAAACAGGAGTGGGAAGAGTCTGGAGGATGTGCGAGCAGAGGCCAGACAGTCAGAAAGCAAAGCCAGGGGCTGAACCCCAGGGCTTGCAGTTTACTCCCAAACAGGAACCACTTACAGTGTCGCATGAGAAAAGCCCGTTCTTCAACCTTTCAGATAGGTAACCACTTCTCAAGCAATTCAGCTCTGCTCTGAAAGGGTTGAAATCAATGGTGTGCTGGAACTTCAGAGAAAACCTAGAAAATTCTCTACAGGCTCCCCCTCAGTGTTCAGCTCAAAGCCAGCTGTCCAGTCCCTCAGCTTTCCTGGTCTGGTGACAGACAAGAGACTTAACGGAAAGCAGCCCATCTGTGACTTGGAAAACTGTGGCAATCCACATCTTAGCTATAACTAAGTATGCCCATTTCCAAGCACCACTTACTGACTCCGAGAGTGACTGTCTTATCAATTATCTGCATGACACTCCTGATCTGTAGCGTCCTCTCCTAAATGAATGGAAGTCTCACTCAGGGAAAGATCACCCTGCTGGACAAGATCTGGGGGTGGGGTAAGATCTTTTCCATGCTGGCTGTACTTGCAGAGCTTCTCTTCAGTATGCATCTTCTGGTGCTGAAGGAAGTTGGACCTTTGTATAAAGCCTTTCCCGCAGTAACTGCACACGTAAGGCTTCTCTCCAGTATGGACAATTTGATGCAGCAGCAGCTTAGAGCTCTGGATGAAGGCTTTCCCGCAGTCTTTGCACTCAAACGGTCTGTCTCCAGTGTGGATCTTCTGGTGCTCAGTGAGGTGGGCCTTCTGCAGAAAAGCCTTGCCACATTCTTTGCATTCGTACACCCGCTCCCCAGTGTGGATCTTCTGGTGCCGGATAAGGTATGAACTCAGGAAGAAGGCTTTCCCACAGTCTTTGCACTCATAGAGTTTCTCCCCTGTGTGGATTCTCTGATGCTGAGTGAAGTTGGATGTCTGACTGAAACGCTTGCCACACTCATTGCATACGTAAGGTCGCTCTCCAGTATGAATTCTCTGATGCTGAATGAGCTTTGAGCTTCGGATAAAGGCCTTCCCACACTCATGACACTCAAAGGGTCTCTCTCCAGTGTGAATCCTCTGGTGCTCAATGAGGTCGGAGCGGTGTCGGAAGGCTTTCCCACAGTCCCTGCATTCATACTGTTTGACCTCCGTGTGGATCTGGTAATGCCGAATAAGGCTTGAGCTCCGAATGAAAGATTTTCCACACTCATTACACTCGTAGGGTCTCTCTCCTGTGTGGATTCTTTGATGGCGAATGAGTAAGGAGCTCTGACTGAACCCTTTCCCACACTCCTTGCATTCGAAAGGCCTCTCTCTGGTGTGGACCCTCTGGTGCCGAAGCAGGTCTGAACTGTGACAAAACGCTTTTCCACACTGTGCACACTTGAACGGTTTTTCTTCTGTGTGGACACGTTGATGTTCAACTAGGTTTGCATAGTGAATAAAGTCTTTCCCACACACACTGCACACATAGAGTCTGTCCCCAGTGTGGACTCTTTGATGTTCCGTGAGGAGGGAGTTCTGACTGAAGCCTTTCCCACAGTGAGCACACTGGTAAGGCCTCTCCCCTGTATGAGAAGCCTGCTGTGGAACTACACTTGAACTCAACGGGAAGCTTTTGCCACCAATACCACAAGAATGGGCCTCCCCTTCTATAAGCTCTCTCTGGAGTATAAGAAGGTTTGAGTTAAGAGTAGGATTCCCTCCTGACTTACTGCACATCTGGGCTGTTTCTCCTGTTTGAATTTTCCAGTGGGTCACTGGCATCTGTTTGAGGTTCCCCTCCTGAGTGGGGGGACTCTCTAGGATCTTCCTTTCTGGATTCCCCAACAGCTGCACTAATCTGTCTTCATGAAATTCCCCGGGCTCAGAGATGGGGGGCTCCAGCACAGTGAGTTTATCTGACATCATATTATGTGAATTTTCATCCCCAGAAATTCAGGCTTCAAGATCACCTTCTTGTCCCCAGCTCCTACGGTGGAATCTGAAACGAGAAAAGAAGATGGTCTTTCCCCTTTGTTAGCAAGAAGCTGCCGCACAGGCAGACGGCATGAAGTCAAACCCCGTGCAGGTGAGAGAGGGAGCAGCCCTCTGCCCACACTTCGGGCCCAACTGTTACCAACTTTCACCTTGCTCCAACCAACTGTCAACATGGGAAGGTTTCTTGGGGCTCCACCGCTCATATCCAACCCCAAGACAAATAGGCCTGAGCTGTCTAAACAGCATTCCTCTAACTTGTGACCAGTGTGGGAGACAAGCGAGATAGGGATATAGGCAGGGCTCTGCTTAAAAATCAAGACACGTAATTCCAAAGGTCACTCAAATAAATCTATCAGTCCTACTATTCTCCACCCTCGTGGCTATCCTGTCCCTACCCGTGTGCAAACCACGGCCCACTTATCTGCAGCGCACAGGGATTCAGTGCTAGCAGCAGTGTAGCCTCCCCAGCGGTGAGAGCAAAGGTACTGGGAACTGGAAACATCTTAGGGAAGAGACCCCAGGACCTGCACAGTGAAGAAAGGGATATAATCCTCTTCATGCAACTCGCCCGCCCTTTTCTTCCTGGCCTGTGTGGGCCGCAGCTCTGGCCAGACGCAGCCTGTGCTGAATCTGTCTGAACTCTCGCTGGCCAAGTGCTCTCAACGTCTACAGCCCCAATGCCCTAGGACTGTCAGCCATGCCCACACGCACCCATCTCTCCTTTTCTTTCTTTTGTTGTTGGTTTTTGAGACATGGTCTCACTCTGAAGCTCTATCTGGTCCTGGAACTTGTTCTGTAGACCAGGCTGGCCTTGAACTCAGAGAACCACCTGCTTCTGCCTCTGAGTGCTGGGATTAAAGGTGTGCATCACTGCCTGGCCATCCTTTTCTCCTTTTTAAAAGTTGCACAGTGGGGCTCTAGAGATGGCTGGGCAGTTAAGTACACCTGCTGTTCTTGCAGAGGAGCCAAGTTTAGTTCCCAGCACCCACAACAAAGGTAGCTCACAACTGTCTGTAACTTCAGTTCCAGGGGATCTGACACTGGTTTCTGACCTCTGTGAGTACCAGGACCACATGTGGTACACATACACACATACAGGAAAAACTCATGAATTAAATATTTAAAATGTCTAACACTTTTTTCTATCCCTCAGCTGCTGTGGGATAATCCTTCTGTATGCTGTGAAAATGTATTACTCCCATTGGTTGATAATAAAGCTGATTTGGCCTATAGCAAGGCAGAATAAATTTAGGCGGGAAAGCCAGACTGAAAATACAGAGAGGAAGAGGGTAGAGTCAGAGAGCTGCAAGCAGTGCTGGGAAAGCAAAGCCAGGAGCCATGTGGCAAAGTATAGATCAATACAGATGGATTAACTTAAGCTAAAAGAACTAGTTAGTAATAAGCCTGCCCTACCGGCCGAGCATTCTGTATTAATAGAAGCTTTCGTGTGTCTGCTTGGGACGGGGCAGTCGGCACAAAAGACAAGCTCTGCCCGCCTCCGTTTACACTTAGCCCTGGCTTCAATAAGAAAACAAAGGCAGTGACACAAGAATGCCCATTCCATTACCTGTGTCTGCCTCTCTCATTTCAAGAGCCAAGCTGTACTTGACCTGAGAGAAGGGTCTCACCTTCCCTGCTCTAGACCCTCTCCCATTCCACCTTGTCCAGCCATCATTCCCTCCCACGAGACAGAAGCTTCTCTGCCATTCCAAGCAACAGACAGCAATGCCAGCTCTCCCATCCACTTCACTGGGGGAAGAGTTGCCAGATTTGACATAGTAGGGAACAAGAGGGCCTTGACAACTAGGTAGAGTGTCAAAATCTCATTTAAAAACTAAATGGCACATACATCTAGTCTCTGCAACTCTGAAGGCTTCAGACGATGAACTACTCTGGGGAAACATGGCGACATCCTGTCTCAAAGAACAAGAATGCCAACCTAACTTCCTGAACTGGACTTCCTCTCCAGCTACTGTCCCACCTCTCCTCCATGGTGACACTCAATGGACACTGAGTTTGTCTCTGCCTCTCCTTTGCTTTCTTAAATGCACTGGGGTCAGATGATCACAACAGTCTATTGTAGAACTCCACGTCCGCCACACGTGACATCCAGTGACTCACTCATGGCGTCATCTTGTCACAGCCTCCTGCGACAGCCTCTGCTAGCTTTCTCCCTAGCTACCCCCTCCCAGTGTTCAGGGATGACAATGGAGTCTTGTCACAATCCAGGCAAGACCTCCTCCATCTCCAGTGACCCAGCTTAGCAGAGGGATGCTCTCCTCCTGCAAGTGGGCTCTTTCCCAACCTCCACCACATCTATCTCTCAACCTGATGCTTTCACAGGCTTTCAAACTTCAGGAGTCAACGTTCTTGCTTCTACTAAGTCTGTCTGGCCCTCCTACAGTGAGATCTCCAGCAACTTGCATTTGTTCAGGCCAGAACTGTGCAACAGGCCTCCTTGGTTCCCTTTACTTTATTCATTCCCCACATCTAATCTACCAGCAGACCTGTAGGCCAAGCCCTGATCCTGTCTCAAAACCCACTGCCATCATCTACTATTATTTCTTTTTTTTTTTTTTTTCTCGAGACAGGGTTTCTCTGTATTGCTTTGGAGCCTGTCCTGGAACTCGCTCTGTAAAGCAAGCTGGCCTCGAACTCACAGAGATCCGCCTGCCTCTGCCTCCTGAGTGCTGGGATTAAAGGCGTGCGCCACCAATGTCTGGCTATCCTCTATTACTATTTCTTAACACACAAGGGTGACAATCTTCTAACCTCTCTCCATTGCTTTTCTACAGAGCCCGCAGGATGACCCTTTAAAAGCATAAATGGAATGGTGACTTTCTATTTTAAAACCTTCAAGGCTCTCCGATCCCCTGACCACCGGCATTTTCTCCAAGTAGCAGGACCACTTAAGTCACTGACCAGGCATTTGAGCCCAACTTTCCCCACCACCCCTCCTAAGAGCTAGCTGTTTGCAGACGCCACTGCTCCACTCTGCTCCCAGAAAGCTTCAAGCTTCAGGACCATAGTGCTGCCAGTCAGCTGCCCCAGAGTCTAACTGGCACTCAGCGGAAAGAGCCAGCCACGGTGCTTAGAAGTTCCTGTGTCATGACACTTGTGCCATAGAGTAGATGGCTGCAGAACTTACAGGGCGGAAATAGACTAGAAGAGAAAGCAAATCAGCCAAGACCACTAGCCCAGTCAGGAGCGGAGCTTCCATTTCCTGATTTGAGAGACTTTATCCTTTGTAAATATATGTTGGCTCTACAGGTTATTTTGCTTAGGGATGGCCAGGATCAGTACTACGAGAAATTTGTATGCTGAAACTTAATGTCTGAAAAAAGGGTAAAATGGACAGGTGGTTTCTGGTCTTATGCATTATGAAGAATTCAGGGTATTACACATGTTAGGCAAGTAAGTGCCTTACCAATGAGCTACACCTCAGCTCCTGATACCATACTGAAAATGACTATGCTACCTGGAAACAAGCCTGCATCTGTTTACAAGAATAGCTTAAAACCATTTGTGCTTCTTGGTGACTTTTATAAGTTCTACTTTTTTTTTTGAGACAGGGTTTCTCTGTGTAGCCCTAGCTGTCCTAGAACTAGCTCTGTAGACCAGGCTGGCTTCCAATTCACAGAGGCCTACCTGCCTTTTCCTCCCGAGTGCTGGGATTAAAGGTGTGTACCACCACTGGCCAGCTTATAGATTCTTATTTTAAAGTTTCTTAAATAAAGTATATCTGCTTGAAGGAATGTCATCTCAAAATCAGCAAATTGGGGGGCTAGAGAGATGGCTTAGCAGTTAAGAGCACTGGCTACTCTTCCAGAGGACCTGGGCTCAATTCCCGGCAGTTCATAACACTGTAACTCCAGTTCTAGAGTATCCAATGCCTTCTGTTGGCTTCTGAGGGCACCAGGCACGCACACGATGGACAGACTTACAAAACACCCATACACATAAAATAAAATAGGAGTGGAACAGTTTGCATAGCTTCAGCTCCTTAGAAGCCTGTGCAGATGTGCAGGCAGCTGGGAGTCACGTGTGCAAAGCAGGTTTGTATCATGCTCCCCTCACAAGCATCCATACGTTTACCAGAGCCAGCTTACTTGAGGTCAAAAAGAACAGAGCCAGTGTCTGGCTTGCCCTCTTGGGGGCTCCTGTCTGTGGCTGCCCCTGGAACCTGCACACACATGGTCTCCTGCTGACAGGAGCAAGCTTCTCTTCCCAGGAGCCTTTTAGCAGCCATCTCCACAAGTCAAAAGAGCAATTAGGGAGGCTCTCGGCTACACCTCGGGACACCATTATGCTCTGGCCTGCTGCTTCTCTGGTATCTCTTCCACCTCCTGATTAGCTCATAGACATGGGGGCCTTGCCCAGAGCTGCTATCTCTCCATCATCCCCTAAACTATTCCAGAACCAGGAGTGTTCCACGCTAAGTGTACCGGCTTGTGAAGTGTCTCTATAACTCCCATGAAGTATTAAAGCAGATGCAAGGCCACAGCCACGACAGAAACAAAGTTCTGCTCCCTGCTAATAGGGAGTGAAGCGCTGCCTTAAAACTTGGTGTGTAAGTGGGGCATGGTGGCACTCGCCTTTAATCCCAGCACTCAGGGTCTCTGTGAGTTCGAGGCCAGCCTGGTCTACAAAGTGAGTTCCAGCCGGGCGTTGGTGGCGCACGCCTTTAATCCCAGCACTCGGGAGGCAGAGGCAGGCGGATCTCTGTGAGTTCGAGGCCAGCCTGGTCTACAGAGTGAGTTCCAGGACAGCCTCCAAAGCTACAGAGAAACCTTGTCTCAAAAAAAAAAAAAAACAAACAAACAAAAAAAAAAAACCAAAGTGAGTTCCAGGACAGGTAGGGCTACACAGAGAAATCCTGTCTCAAAAAATCACCACCACCACCACCAAAACCCCTCGGCGTGTGTGTGTGGAGCAATTCTGATTTCTTTGTGAGCAGGAGACATTTATTTCTCTCATTCATTGGGATGGGTCTCAGAGAAAGGATGTCTGTGAGTGTACAGGGTGACTATAAACACCAGCTCCTGGAAACTGCTTGCGTTTAGAGCCTTACTCCTGCTAAAACCCACAGGGAACCTTTACCGTACTACTCAGGCCCTGGGGACTCCAGGACCTCGGTGGAGCAGGATGCAAAGTGGGTTAAATGCCCCTAGCATCATCACAGAGATATCACAGATGTGGACTCACACGCTTCTGACTGAAAAGCTAGGACAGCTTGGCTGACACTTGACCCCACCTGGAAACTCTCCTTCAGATCACAAGGAGCTGGTTTGGCCCAACACGCACATTATCTGAGAGCCCTGTAGCACCGGGGTCCCTGTAGGGCATCTTCTCCAGCAGAGGCCGAAAAGCCTGCGGGAAGTCAGGAGGGCAAGGTCCAGGCACAGCGGCAGATGCGCGCACCTGCATTCCTCCATCACCTGAGCAGACGGCCTTCCAGCGGCCAAAAGAAAACCTCTACGTCCTCGGGCGACAGGTCCAAGCATCTGCCACACCCAGCTGGGCGAGGAAAGGATGCAGGGCTCGGCCCGAAACAAGAGAGGAGCTGCAGACACCTGCAAGAGCGGAGAGCATCCGGGCCCGGGACACCAACTGAATAGCGAATGCCGCTGGCCACGAGCCCGCCCGCCCGCGCTGGTAACGCCACCCCACTCACCCGGAGCCCGACGACGACAAGAGGACAGCGAGGAACCAAGCCAAGCTGCACCCGGCCGCGCTAGACCGGGGTGGCCACAAAGCCCACGCCGCCGCTGCACGCCTCGGCCGGAAGCCGCCGGAGGCCCCGCCCGGAGGACGTCCGCAGCCGCTCTAGGATGAGAGTGGGGACCAGAGCCTTCTCCGTGCCAGACTTCCGGCCCAGACCACTGCGTCCAGCCAAAGGACCCAGTACGCAGACGCGGCGGGGAGGACTCGTTTGCACAAGTAGGTGTGGGGTCAGCCGCGGAAACAACGACCTTACTTTGTAATAAGCCCCTGGAGACTCAGAGCAGTGAAATCAAGGCAGTATATTTTATGACCTTGCCAAGTCAGGTGAAAACCTAGAATGGGAAGCTCACTGATTGAGCCAGGGAGCCTTATTTATTTGTTTGTTTGTTTTTATTGTGTATGTTAGTGTTTCGCCTGTGTGTATGTGTGCACCGTGTTTGTGTTTGGTGCTCATTGGAAGCCAGAAGAGGGCACTGGAAGGTTTCTACACCCCAGTAAGCCTCTCCGCCATCCAAATCAGACCCAATTAGAAAAGCCCATATTTAATGGATACAACGCTTCCGGATGGATGGCCTTCCAGACCCCTCCCCCCCAGAGAGGAGAAGGGAAAGGGAGACCAGAAAAACCATTTTTCTGGGGGGCAGTTTAAATGCCCTGTGGGAGTGGTCTTGAGCATTTCTGGGGGAAGGGTCATCGTTTGCCGGGCTTTCTGAGCTGCAGCAGAGTTTGGAGGGAGATGGGGAGGGGGACTTGGGTGGAACCTCCACCGTAGCAGGCACCAGATCCCCTGATACTGGAGTTTTAGACACAGGTGTTAGCTGCCATGTTGGTGCTGGAAATCGAACCAGGATCCTGTAAGGAGTCTTTTTCCTGTCCCTCCAGATAGCTCCCAAATAATGACACTTCTTATTGAAGGGCCCAGACCCTCACCCAGAACCCTGCCTTGGCAGTCATAACAGGCTGCAGAAAAGACCCTCCAAGTAGTAGGCTCCTGACTCGGCAGGACGTGCTGAGCCCCCTGACCATGTCCAACCTTGCTCTAATTCCTGGGAAGAAACTGCCAGACACCCTCTATGTAGCAAGGAACCAATCAGAAGTCAGCTGGCAGGCTCTGGATGTGCTTTACTGATGACAGTGGAATGCAGAGGGCAGCAACCTTTCTGCAGCTGCAGCTGACCAATCAACTCAGGACAGGTTCCTCCAGCCCAGAGGAGGAGCACCAATCCTGAGACTGTTGCTATGCAACTAGCAGCCCCCCCCCAAGCATCCTCTCCCTTGCTCTACTCCCAGTACATGTCCTCCCCCACTGCTGCTCAGGTCACTCCTACTCCACCCATTGTGTCAGACAGACCCAAGTTAACTCGTAATTAATAAGACCATTTGCTTTTGCGTAGAATCTGGCCTCTTGATGGTTTGGGGAGTTGAGTCTGGGCACAGCACTTATTAACTATGAAAGCCCAGTCTGGGGGCTGGAGAGATGGCTCAGAGGTTAAGAGCACTGCTTGCTCTTCCAGAGGTCCTGAGTTCAATTCCCAGCAACCACATGGTGGCTCACAACCATCTACAATTCAATCTGGCCTCCTCTTCTGGCATGTAAACAGAACATTGTATATGTAATAAATAAATAAATCTTAAAAAAAAAAAAGAAAGCCCAGTCTGTATCTTAGGCTTGTTCCTAACTAGCTCTTACAACTTTAACCCATGCACAGTAACCTACATTCTTTGATGTGGCGTTACCTCTCTTCTGTCTTGCACCTCCTGTTTCCTCTCCATATTCCTGGTGTCTCCTGCTTGCCTCGATTCCTCCTCCTCTTCCTTTCTCTCCCTGGAAATCCCACCTGTGCCTCCTGCCTAGCTATTGGCTGGTCTGCTTCTTATTACACCAATCACAGCAAACATCTTCACACAGTGTCCAAATATCCCACAACAAGCAACCAGTGTTCTTCACTGCTGAACCATCTCCCAGCAGAGCATGCCTTTTTTGTTATGGTGTGGGTGTTTTGCTGGCATGTATGTCATTGTTCACGGATGCCAGAAGAGGATCACTTCTTTGAAAAGCATTCACTCTCTGTGCCTGCAAAGCAAGCACTTTACTGACTGAGCTACCTCCCTGGTCCTAACCCAAGCTTTCAATGGCAAAGGGGTGGGTGTAAACTTCGAAACTCGTGGTAAGTAATGCAGTGCTTTCTGAAGCTGGACTTACGCCGTGCCACAATATACCTTCCTCACTTATCTGAGATCTTTCAAGTGTTTAAAAAGCCCCACAGTAGCTGGGCATTGGTGGCGCACACCTTTAATCCCGGCACTCAGGAGGCAGAGGCAGGAGGATCTCTGTGAGTTTGAGGCCAGTCTGGTCTACAGAGTTCTAGGAGAGACAGGGATACACGGAGGAGGAGGAGGAGGAGGAGGAGGAGGAGGAGGAGGAGGAGGAGGAGGAGAAGGAGGAGGAGCAGCAGCAGCAGCAGCAGCAAAGAGGGCTGGAGAGATGGCTCAGAGGTTAAGAGCACTGGCTGCTCTTCCAGAGGACCTGAGTTCAATTCCCAGTAGCCACCTGGTGGCTCACAATCATCTGTAATGAGATCTGGTGCCCTCTTGTGGTGTACAGGCATACAAGCCCACTTGTATACACAGAAAATAAATACATCTTAACAACAGAAAAGGAAAAGCATCACAACTGCCACAGGTGTAGTCTGACTGGCTGCTCAAGAGGGGCTGCTTGGTTAGAAGTTCTCCACTCCAGGAAGCTAGGCACAATAATCTAACACTTGTCAATTAAGAATTCAATTCAGCACTACATCTTACCTTATTTGTAAGAAAAATAAACATGAAATGGGATGATTAGCAGCTGGGTACATACCTTGGGTGGATCTATGTGAGTTCAAGGCCAGCCTTGTGTACATAGCTAGTTCTGGACCGGCCAAAGCTACATAGTGACATCCTGTCTCAGAAAAAAAAATTGTGTGGAGGGATGATTACAGTAAAGTTTTATCATTATTAAACAATATGGTAACAATGCTAAGCTTGTGCCCAAGACGTTTTAGATGGGGTCTGGGACTAGATCTGCTCTAGAGATAAGCAGCCCTGAAGCTCCCTACACATCTTTCCAGTCAGGCCCAAAGACAACCTCTTCTCTGGAGATGAGCAGCCCAGCGGCTCTGGTGGCTCAACATCACCCTAGCTAGAACTGCTCTGAATTCCTGAGAATGTAGGTAAGAGCTGTCCACACAGCAAGAGCTTTGAAAGACCTGCATGCCAATCCTTTGGAATGTCATCGGCAAAGATGGGTTCCAAGTCTGTCAGTGTGGGAAGTTGCCCATGTGACAATAAATGACCCTACACCCATGCTTATGCAAGCAATCCTAATTATATTCAATGAGTCACTAAAAAGACACAAAATTGGGGGGCTGGAGGATGGCTCAGTGGTTAAGAGCGTTGGCTGCTCTTCCAGAGGTCCTGAGTTCAATTCCAGAACCCACATGGTGACTCACAACCATCTATAACGAGATCTGGGCCATCTTCTGGACACTGTATACATAATAAATCTTTAAAAAAAGAAGGGGCTCAGAGAGTAGGGGGAATAAGAAAAGCTAATGAATGTGAATTAAATAGAAATACATTGTTTACATGTATTAAATCCTTAAGCAGTAAATAAAAGATGTTGAAATATTTCACTCCAGAGAGAGGCTCCTTAAGACTTGGGAAGCAGACAACTCACAGGTCTCAAGATGTCCCTAAAACCAAATTCATAGGGTTATATAAGCAGTAAGGACAGCTGAGGAGGGGAGATGCCCAGCCAACCATAAATCACGCAGAGCGCTCCAGGGACTCAGCTTTCCTGAATCATCACTCGTGCTGGGGTGAGCGTTTTAATGCTGTACTCCTGCAAGTAACCCCGATAAACTCATTGGTTCTCAAGCTGAAGGGGATGTCACAACAGTTACTGATCAACTCCTACCCACACCTGTCATTCCTATCAGCTTTCCGTTTCTGTCTCTGCAGCCTTGAACTCTGCTGCAGCCCCTTTAACCCGTTGTAGACATTCTGTAGCCTACATGCTGACAGATTCACTGTGTGATATATAATCGGTAACCTCAAGGTTAGTAGTCATAGTTAAGGGTAGAATAAAGTAACTCGTGTTTGCTTCGGCTCAATATCAAGATTAGGACTACTCGGCATATTGATCCCAGTGACATCACTATGCTTTTGAACTTATTATTGTCCAATAAATTATGATATTGTGGAAAAACACAAGTGTGCCAGTTCTCTCTACAGTTTATTTGGGCTTGGGGATTGAACTCAGGTCATCAGGCTTGTTGGTAAATGCCCCTGCCTGTTGAGCTGTACCCTCAGCCTATGTCTGTATTTTTTAAAAGACTTATTAACTTTTATATGCATTGATTTTTTTTTTTTTTTGGTTTTTCGAGACAGGGTTTCTCTGTGGCTTTGGAGGCTGTCCTGGAACTAGCTCTTGTAAACCAGGCTAGCCTCGAACTCACAGAGATCCGCCTGCCTCTGCCTCCCAAGTCCTGGGATTAAAGGCGTGTGCCACCAACGCTCGGCTATGCATTGATGTTTTGCCTGCCTGCATATTTGTGTGAGAGTGTTAGATCCCCTGGAACTGGAGTTACAGACAGTTGTGAGCTGCCATGTGGGTGCTGGGAATCAAACTCAGGTCCTCTGGAAGAGCAGACAGTGCTCTTAACTGCTGAGCCATCTCTCCTGCCCCAAAACATGGTGGGAAAGAATTTTTGTTGTTGTTGTTTCTGAGTGAGCTGTCTTTATGCACAGCAGAAGATGGAATCAGATCTCATTACAGATGGTTGTGAGCCACCATATGGTTTCTGGGAATTGAACTCAGGACCTCTGGAAGAGCAGCAGCCAGTGCTCTTAACAACCTGAGCCATTTTATGTCTGTATTTTTAAATCACTACTACCAACCCAGTTGATATACATATAATTAGCTAAATTCATTCATCTGCTGTCCTAATGTCATCCTCATAACCAATGTATATAATACATATTTATAGATAATTACATTTTTTGGGTTGGTTCTGTTTTTTCCCCCCGTGTATCCCTGGCTATCCTGGAACTCGCTCTGTAGACCAGGCTGGCCTCGAACTCACATAGATACACCTGCCCTTGCCTCCCGAGTGCTGGGATTAAAGGAGAGATTTTATTCACTGCTTTAAAATACTGTATTCAGGTAAAAAGAATGCGAGTCTTCTGTGAATTCCTAGCGGAAACACACAACTGGCACTTAGAGGCTTGGGGCTGGATGTGGCTCAGCCAGGAGGAGGTGCGTGGCCGCTCAAAGACGTGCAGAAGCGTCGATGGGTCGTGGTCTTCGTTGCAGGATAAGAAATAGAGATTCCTGGTCAGCCCGCTACTGCGCTGCGGGACCTGTGTCGGTAAAACCACCAGTGTGTGAGTGGGTGACCCCAGCGTTACAGTGCCGGTGGCCAAAGCCGGAGCAGCCACGCCACGCCCACAGAACTCGGTTTCCCAGAAGCTCCCGCGCCTCACTGGTGCATGACGAAGACTCCATTTCCCAGGGTTCCCCGGGAGGGCCTCGCCCCCTCCACCTGGACCGCGCGAGTAGCTGGAGAATTGTGCTCCGGAAGCAGCTCTTGAACTGGTGGAACCCAGCGCAGGTGAGGCTCCCGGGTGGAAGCGGTGCAGCAAACTAGGGATCCCACAGCATGGTTGGTCGAGGCTGTAAGAGTTCGAATGGCATCAGAGGGCTCCGTGGGCTTGGGCTGGGTGCCCTGCAAGATCGGGAACCACGGTGTGGGGGCCGGACCCTTGCTCATGAGGTGACGGTGGAGCCATGGGGATTGGCCAGAACCATCCTGCAGGGGTCGTAGCATATTTTCAGCGTCCCGAGGCCTTCCAGGGGTTGCACCCTGCCCTAGAAGAACTAGGCTTTCCTAAGCTATTGGCTGTCAGCTCAGCACTAGTGGGTATCGGGCTCCAAGCACGGGCACCGCTTGGGTAAACGTTGGGGAGAAGCAGCCTTTACGATATGTGCCCAGAACTGCCAGCCCTCAATTTTCAGTCGTAGGGATGAGATGTATCTTTCCTCTACCTAGTAGGGTCATGGCTTGGGACCTAGCTGCTTTGGTTTGGATAGCAGCCAGCAGGAACCTCTGGAGCCCAGGGCAAAGGACTTAGGGAAACAGATCTGGGTGTGTCTGGCCTACACGTCACTACCCTTTAGAAGTTTGATTTTGTGTCTGTTACCCATTGGCTCAAGAGACTGAGGCGGGGAGAACAGCACATCCTATATCTCCTTAGCTCGAAACATTTGGCCCTCCAGGTGTAGCTACAATGGGTGAGCCCCAGGGATCCAGGAGGATCCTAGTGACAGGGGGCTCTGGACTGGTGGGCAGAGCCATCCAGAAGGTGGTCGCAGACGGTGCTGGCTTACCCGGAGAGGAATGGGTGTTTGTCTCCTCCAAAGATGCAGATCTGACGTGAGTTGGAACCATATTCAGACCCAGCCCTTCTCCTGATTCCCTCTCCAGGCTGGAGTGCCCTGCTGGGGCTGTTCCTGAGCCTAGCAGTAGCCCTCCCTGAGCCTGGGTCCTCCCTGCCAGGTGACTGATCTGGCAGTGTTTGCTGCCTGTACTAAGCAAACATCCTCCTGTGGTTCCCGGTGCCCACACCTAACACCCAGGAAGCCCTGAACTTGGCTGTTGATCCCTTTGACTGCCCGTCTAGCCTTAGACCCATCCAAGCTTGCACTGGCTGCCCCAGCTCCTAACCCTGATTTCCTCAGGCCTCATTAGGCCCACTGGTATCCTGGCTTCCTTCAGGGATGCAGCGCAAACCCAAGCCCTGTTCCAGAAGGTACAGCCCACCCATGTCATCCATCTTGCTGCAATGGTAGGAGGCCTTTTCCGGAATATCAAATACAACTTGGATTTCTGGGTAAGATGGGGTGCTGGGGACAACAAGCATTGGGAGCCAAGAACTCAGATGCTTGGAACTTGCACAGATTCACCCTTAAGAAGTCCCCGAGAACTGGTTTTGCATGGCCCTGGGGTCACTTGGCCAACTGCTGACCTGCAGGATTGGGAAGCTTAAGAAAGCCAGAATACCACACTGTGTACCTGGAGGCAGATTCCTGCTAACTGAATACACAGTGTGTACCTGGAGGCAGATTCCTGCTAACTGAATCCACACTGTGTACCTGGAGGCAGATTCCTGCTAACTGAATCCACACTGTGTACCTGGAGGCAGATTCCTGCTAACTGAATCCACACTGTGTACCTGGAGGCAGGCTCCTGTTAACTGAATACACACTGTGTACCTGGAGGCAGATTCCTGCTAACTGAATACACAGTGTGTACCTGGAGGCAGGCTCCTGTTAACTGAATCCACACTGTGTACCTGGAGGCAGGCTCCTGCTAACTGAATCCACACTGTGTACCTGGAGGCAGGCTCCTGCTAACTGAGCCTGCCAGGCTGCCGCATTCTTGAGCTCCCAGGCTTGGTTCAGTCAGCTCCCTGAATCTACCAACCATCGGGTTGGCATGTCTCTAGCATGCACCTTAGGAGGAAGGGCATAACGTAAGCATTCTGCTTTGGCTGACCGTGCTCCTCAGAGCACCTGTACCTGCTTCTGGGCAGTGGTCTCGTCCTGACTGGCCTGACTGGACACAGCTACATGCAAAGGTTCCCACCAGGTTTTGCCCATGGACTCTGTCACCCAAAGCTCTCCTTGAGCATACTTGTGTTTCCAGCAAATCTCTTGGTCACTACCTCTTCCCTGTTCTTAGACCAGCGTGCCTCAGACCAGTTTAGGGAAGAGACCTGAGAGGCCAGGATGAGGCACTGAGAAGAGGCTGGGCATGACTCCTGTGGAGTGGGAGGAGGGCTTCTTTGTAGGGGGAACCCCAGCTACAGCTCCCTCATCTCTTTTTTTTTTTTTTTTTTTGGTTTTTCGAGACAGGGTTTCTCTGTGGCTTTGGAGGCTGTCCTGGAACTAGCTCTTGTAGACCAGGCTGGCCTCGAACTCATAGAGATCCGGCTGCCTCTGCCTCCCGAGTGCTGGGATTAAAGGTGTGCGCCACCAATGCCCGGTGAGCTCCCTCATCTCTAACGCCTACCCTGCACTGTGTAGCCCTGGGAATGCCACTCTGTCCTCCACACCCAGGCAGGCAGGGTAGGACTTTTCTGTGTCTCTACAAGATGTCAGCTTCTATAAGGTCAGTTCTGGGAGGCTTAGACTTGCTCCAAAAGCATCTCAGATAAATAGACACGGATAGTGCTCACATCTGAGCTTCCAACTAAATGCACGGAGACTTATTGTTACTTAGGAATGCCCAACCTTAGCTTAGCTTGCTAACTGAAATTTTTCCCTTTCTCTTTAACTATGTTTTGCCTCTGGGCTTTTCTCTATACATCTTTCTTTCTAACTCCGAGGCTGTTTGCGTGGCTGCCCCTGGTGTCCTCCTCTCCTCCTTTTTTTTTTTTTTTTTGATTCTTTCCTCTTCTCTTTCTCTCCTTCTCTTTATTCTCTCTGCCTGGCAGCCCAGCCTATCCCTCTCCTGCCTAGCTATTGTTCAGCTCTTTATTAGACCAATCAGGTATTTTAGGCAGGCAAAGTAACACAGCTTCACAGTTAAATAAATGCAACATAAAAGAATGCAGCACATCTTTGCATCATTAAACAAATAATATACAGCATAGATGAATGCAACCCATCTTTTTTTGGGGGGCGGTTTCAAGACAGGGTTTCTCTGTATTGTTTTTGGAGGCTGTCCTGGAACTCGCTCTGTAGACCAGGCTGGCCTCAAACTCACAGAGATCCGCCTGCCTCTGCCTCCCGAGTGCTGGGATTAAAGGCGTGTGCCACCAACGCCCCGCAAATGTAACACACATCTTAAATTGATATTCTACAAGGTCTAACCCACCTATGCCCATTTCAGAGGAAGAATGTGCACATCAATGACAATGTCCTGCACTCAGCCTTCGAGGTGGGCGCTCGCAAGGTGGTCTCCTGTCTGTCCACCTGCATCTTCCCTGACAAGACCACCTATCCTATTGACGAGACGATGGTGAGGGTCAGGGCCCCCCCGGGGTAGGACCTGAGGGCGTGGGCAGAGCCGAGCGAGGGTTCTCAGCGCATCTCCTCCTCCTCCTCCTCCAGATCCACAACGGCCCGCCCCACAGCAGCAATTTTGGGTACTCGTATGCCAAGAGGATGATTGACGTGCAGAACAGGTGCTCCTTCTGGTCTTGCCCAGGCCTCCTTGGAGAGGGGAGGAGGGGCCTTGGGTTAGTGAGGCTTCGTCGCTGCCTCGTTTGTAGCTTCAGAGGGAACTGGGGACACTAGAGGCGTGGGGTCAGGAGACGCCGTCTCTGCAGGGCCTACTTCCAGCAGCATGGCTGTACCTTCACTGCTGTCATCCCTACCAACGTCTTTGGACCTCATGACAACTTCAACATTGAAGATGGCCATGTGCTGCCTGGCCTCATCCACAAGGTGCACCTGGCCAAGAGTGAGTGACGCTATCCAGCACACGCCGGGCCGAGGCTGCCTGCCTGAAGGAGCCCTGAGCCCAGCTGTGGCCGGGGTGGCCGGGGTGGCCGGGGAGCTGGCTCTGGCTGCAGAGCTCTGACGCCTGCCCCATCCGTAGGTAACGGTTCAGCCTTGACTGTGTGGGGCACAGGGAAACCACGGAGGCAGTTCATCTACTCACTGGTATGTACAGGGACAACGTGGCTGTCCCAAAAAACTGTGGGGAGTGATGGCCTTGCCAAGCCCCCAGGGAATCAACTTTGGTTCAGTGGGAGAAAGCGTGACCTGGATGAGGGACCTCTGTCTAGGGTGAACCCTGACTGTGCCCCCAAAGGAGCAGAAACAGCAGTACAGCCTCCCCACTAGGGGCATTTGGGATTTGACCTAACCTTTTGACCTCCAGGACCTAGCTCGGCTCTTCATCTGGGTCCTGCGGGAGTACAGTGAAGTTGAGCCCATCATCCTCTCAGGTGGGCACTTTGCAGGTGTCATTTCCTATAGCAGGGCAGGACCTGCCTGTGTCCACCCCAAGGAGTGGGAGCAGACATGCCCCTAGGGATCTGGACAGGGAGGCCTGACTGACTCCCGGCCTGTGGTCCCCGCAGTGGGCGAGGAAGATGAAGTGTCCATCAAGGAGGCAGCCGAGGCCGTAGTGGAGGCCATGGACTTCCGTGGGGAAGTCACTGTATCCTTTGACTCCGGGCATGGGCGGAGGGACCGTGGAGGGGTACTGTGGCTTCCCCTCGTAGGATGGCCAACATAACAGCACTTTGTCTCTGGAGGTGCTTGCCCTGGCAGCAGGAGGGGATGTGCTGCGTTCCAGACCTGTCCCAGGAGAGGACAGGTTCCAGGTAGGGAAAATGGGTAGTGCTCCTTCTGCTACAGCCTTGACCAACGTGTCCATTTTGATTCAACGAAGTCGGATGGGCAGTACAAGAAGACGGCCAGCAATGGAAAGCTGCGGGCCTACTTGCCCGATTTCCGCTTCACACCCTTCAAGCAGGGTGAGCTCCTGTCCCTGTCAGAACCCTTAACCACCCCACCCCGTGCCTCAGGCCCCTTCCCGGTTCAGCCCTGAGCTTCAGCGCCAATGGCTCCTCCTTGTTCCCTGCTGCAGTCTTGGCCTCCATGCTGTGACTGGAGGTCTGGAGCCCTGCAGGCTTGGTCACCAGACCCTTATCAGAGCCGCGTCCAGGGGAAGCGGGCGTTGTAGTTTAGTGCTGTGTCCCAGGAGCTGGTGTTCGCCCGTGCAGGTTGAGGAAAGTGGAGAGGCAACCGTAGGATGAATTCAGCCTTCCTTTGCCAGCCGCAGTGTGGTTTGCTCGACAGACTGAGCCGCTCTCCCTTAGCTCAGGGCTCCGTTGTTCTCCAGTTTACACCTTAGCGGGTTGATTTCCACATCCCCAAAGCATCTTAAGCTTCTGAAGGGACCATGCGGATTCTCATCAGAACGTACCGTGGCTTTCTGGGTTGTACTCGGGCTTTGCGCCTCTGGGAAACTCCCATACAGGTTCACATGTGTTAAACAGAAGGCGCTGAAAGAGCAGATTAGGGCTGCATGCCCGCACTCAGGAGCTGGCTGCTGCTGTGCAGGAGCTCCCCCTTACAGTTTAGGGTGTGTGGGGGGAGCCTCAGCCCTCTCTACCTCCTGGGGTGGGGGGTGATGGCATCACCGACTCTCATCTGTCTGCCTCTGCAGCCGTGAAGGAGACCTGTGCCTGGTTCACCAACAACTATGAGCAGGCCCGGAAGTGAAGCATGGGACAGGCAGGTGCTCAGCTGGCAATGCCCAGGCAGCAGTCACCCCTCAGACCTTGCCAAGACCTGAGGGTAGTGTCCAGCGACCTGAGCCACGCGCCCGTCTCTCTGCCAGGGGGCTCCATGCAGCCATCCAGTAGGGCCCATGTTTGTCCATCCTCGGGGGAAGGCCAGACTAACACCTTGCTTGTCTGCTTCTGCCCCAACCTCAGTGCATCCGTGCTGGCCCTGCTGGCCCTTGTCTAGAAACCAATAAAATGGATTTTTGTAAGCCTGGACTCAGAAGCTGCGTCCAGCCTTCCCCTCCCCACAACACAGCCTTCCTAGCTTTCCAGTCCTGGGACCCACTGTACCGCTCTGTGTACACTCTGTGTACCACTCCTGAGAGCTGGTAGGCCCAACGCAAGAGTTCCCTTACGAAGGGCCAGAGAGTGGAGATGTGGTTTCAGGAAGCAGGCAGAGCAGGTCAGTTGTGGACCGTCGGTGGACTCGGGTGTAGGGCAGGGTACCCCCCAACACTCTGAGCTGGATCTTGGTCATGTTTAGCCCTTCCATTTGTGGTCAAACACAGGCCTCTCTGCCTCAGACTTGGGGACCTTGGCCGATCTTGATTTGGACTGGTTCACTTTGGGATTGTTTGTCAAGTCTTTGTCCAATGCAGCAAGGGTCATTTTCAGACTCCCATCCTAGATTACATTGGCTTAAGAGTGTCAGGATATTTCCTTGTCCATGATGACATGGGGTTGGAAGCTACAAGCTCCTCGACTCCTCAGTCTTGAAATAGAGCTACCATTGTCCCTGAAGACTGGGGAGAAAGGAGGGGAGCATTTGCTCCCAAGACTCAAGAGACACAGCTGCCGGCAGGCAAAGGGGACAGTTGGCACCTGTGTAATACATTAAGACTGTCCTAAGCACCAGCCACATGGTAAAAACTGACACCAGGCTGCTGGACCAGTCAGTGTTCTCTGGAATATCACTGTTATACATACATGTATAGTGATTTAGCCAGTTGGTGGTGGCACGTGCCTTTAATCCTAGCACTCAGGAAGCAGAGGCAGGTGGATCTCTGTGAGTTCTAGGCCGGCCTGGGCTACAGAGCGAGTCCCAGGAAAGGCTCCAAAGCTACACAGATAAACCCTGTCTCGAAAATAAAAATAAACAAAACAAACATATATAGTGATTTATGGTCTGGCTTTACATGATGTTCTCTGGATAGCCCAACAATGACTAACACTGGAGAAGCCAAGAATCCAGTAGTTGTTCAGTCAGTGAGTTGGCTGGATGCCTCAGCAGTGCCAGCCTGGCCTGGAGGACTCCTGGATAGTTGCTGGTCTTCTGTGTGCTGTGTACATTGGGATCATAGATGGACTTGGTAGCCACAAACAGATAAAAAGGTTTCCTTCCATGTCCTGTTATCTGGGCTGCCACCAGAAGGCACTGCCTTGATTTAGGGTGGGTCTTCCTGCTTCAGATAATCTTAAGAAGGTCCTTCTGAAGGCTTGCACAGGCGCTTATATTTTCAGTTTATTCCAGATGCAGAGCGGACAGCTCCGACCTCCATGTCCCTTCCCCCCAGAAACCACGTCTATTCCACCGCTCTGCCCTTTTCCCAGGTGATCAGCCTGTCGGCTGCATCTCCTCGCGTGCTCAGATTTCCTCAGCCCAGCCTTCTGTACATCCTGCTGCTCAACCTCCCAGGAACACTAAAGCTACCCAGTTATTTTCCCCATCCCACTAAGCCTTGGTCCTCAGCCCGCAGGACACTGCGGCCTGCCTGTTCTTCCACCCTCTAAAAGCAACATCTGCTGGCCTCTCCTATGCTGTCCTGCCAGTGTCCTTTGACTCATGCCTTTCCAGCCACCCCCGCATCTCCAGGTTTCCTTTAAGCCTAGCCCTTTGATGAGAGTCCAGGGAGGGGACCAGGGCATTAAGGATGTACCCCTCCAGCCCCCAAGAAGAGCTGAGCTGATCAGAACCTGCCTGACACTCAATTGTCTGGGGCCCACCAGTCTGTACTAGCTGCATCATCATGTCAAGGGACACGCACGCTGTCCAGTGAATTGGAATGCCTTGACCACTGTGACCAGGCAGCATGCATTTTCTAGCTGGCTTGAGGCCAAGTCTCAATTGGTTGCAGCCCAGAATACAGAAATTCCTTACACTTGTGTTTGTGTAAATGTTCCTTGTCCCCCCACCTCTCCATGGACATTCCTGGGTAGTTTTTTGTTGTTGTTGTTGTTGTTGTTGTTTTTGTTTTGTTTTTTACGACACAGGGTTTCTCTGTATTGTTTTGGAGGCTGTCGGTCCAGCCCAGCCTCGAACTCACAGAGATCCGCCTGTCTCTGCCTCCCGAGTGCTGGGATTAAAGGCGTGCGCCACCAACGCCCGGCCTCCTGGGTAGTTTTTTGTCCCTGTATATAGTAAGGATTCTGCAAGTACCCTGTGTCAATCTGCTTTCAATTGCTACCTAAGACAATTATCTTGTAACAAAGGAAAGTTCTACTTAGTTTTAGTTTTTATAGATTTTATAGGTTTCCACCCATCATCAAGCAGACTCATCACTCTTATGCTTCTAGTAGGGCCTGGGGAAAGATTGGGGAATACAACTCCACTCACGCTATGCAAGAAGAAAGGACTTTTCACACATTCCAACTGTGGCAAGCAGAGGACAGCCCAGCCTGACCTGTAGGACCTCACAGTCCATGGGCAGCATCACCCTTATAAATTCCGTGTACTGCTAAGTGCTGTCTTCTATTTTGCTTGATTTACACATTAAAAACAACAAAAACTGTCGAGCAGTGGTGGCACATGCCTTTAATACCAGCACTCAGCGAGGCAGAGGCAGGTGGATCTACAAGTTCAAGACCTGCCTGGTCTACAGAGTGAGTTCCAGGTCAACCAGGGATACACAGAAGCCCTGTATCAAAAAACTACCAAAACCAAAACAGCCAGCAACAACCACCTTTACCCAGTTTGTGGGAGGTCTGTATACTATGGACTCAAAGTTACTTTAGGAAATAAAAATAAGGTTGTTTGAGTTGGTTAATTTGCACGAGACAGGCTGGTGCCCTGATCATCTTTGTTCTTTTTGGGCATAGGCTTCTTCTAGTTTTGTTTGCCTTTTCTTTCTTTTGCTCTTTCACTCCAACTACATGACTAGAGTCTATCGGACGCATGTGTGGTATTGAATAGATCATTATTCTGGTGGGACACTAAAGCAAACAAAAGTTTTTCAAAAAATAAAAAATAGCAGGGCGGTGATGGCACACACCTTTAATCCCAGCACTTGGGAGGCAAAGGCAGGCAGATCTCTGTGAGTTTAAGGTCTGGTCTACAGAGTGAGTTCCAGGACAGCCAAGACACAGAGAAACCCTGTCTCGAAAAACAAACAAAACAGTTGTGTACTGTTGTGACTGATTAGTGCTTCCCTTAACCTTGGGTACCAGAACCGGCAGCTCCCAGGATCGAACCCAAGGCACGCAAACCAGGAAAGAGCTGTACCAGCTTGTCGTACCACCGTACACTCCCAGCCCCATGATTGGAGCTTTTCCTCCGATTCTCTCTGCAGGGCTTTTGGGGGGACTCCAGCTTCGGATTTCCAGGTCGAAGCAGACAGCCTGTTTAGGAGTTTATCTTTCCTCTCGCGTTACCCTCAGCAAAATCACCAGCTGCTTCTTCCAGGCTTGTAGAAAATCCCACCTCAAAAAACAAAACGCAACCGTTGGCCCCGCCCCATACTCCTCCCCGAACCCGCCCAGTCGCTTCTGCCTATTAATACGGCTCTAATGGGCGGGGCCCTCTGCATAAGGACGTGAGAAGGAGCACGATGGCGGCGGCAGGGTCGGAGCATCTACGTGTGGGCTTCGTGGGCGCAGGTCGCATGGCGGAGGCCATCGCCCAAGGCCTCATTCGAGCAGGTGGGGAGGGGAGGCCTGGTTGGGGGGCTTTCCAGTGGGAGGACTCCTTAAGCCTCGGCGGGCGGGGCTCAAATGGCTCGCCCCATTCCTGGGTGAGAACCCTACAGCAGGCTTCCATCAAGGTCTCCGCGGTCCCTGGGTGAGCCGACAGCCCTTTTCCCAGGAGGGTGGGTGGGCGAGCCAAGCGTGGTGTGGAGGAAAATAACACAGCTTATTTTATTTAACACTGATTGTATTGTTGAATGATATTCCTTTAAATGTATTGAATTAAAGAACATTACCATTAACTTCATTTGTGTTCTTTGTGAGGGTTTTGCTTGTTTGGTTGGTTTTTGTTTTTTTCAAGACCGGGTTTCTCTGTGTCGCCCTGGCTGTCAGGGCATTCTCTTGGTAGAGCAGGCTGGCCCTGAACTCAGAGATCTGTCTGCCTGAGCGCTGCGATTAAAGGCAGGCTCACTTTTGACTTCTCGTTTCCTTAACGTGGCTGTGATTTTCTCGTTCCATTTGTGGCGCAGACCGGTTTTGCCTTAGACTGGACTGGCCTAACGCAAAGTTAGTGTCCAGCTTCCTGGCGTCCTCCGCTGCACCCCTGCTTTTCTGTCATGCATCATCTCTATTCTCAAAGGTGGGCAGCTGTGTGGACATCTGGGAAGAAGAGGACTCTGTGTACTGAAGAGTGCCTGCCATCACTGGTTTGTCATCTCTCCATGCCAATGCCACCTTGAAGGCCAAAGCACAGTGCCACATGTCGGCTGCCCGGGAGCTGGGGGTGGGCTGAGGGAGGAGGCGGGCTCCTCCTGGCCGAGGACCGCTGTCAGAGAGGAGGGGCTGTCAGGATGGGCCTAACTGCTGTGTAGCTGTTAGAACACCTTACACACACTGCAGGTAGACAACGTTGGCGACCTTCGGCTTCTCTGCTATCAGTTGTACTTCAAAGTCCGGAGGGTCGTGGTCATTAAGAGATCGGCTTCCTACAAGAAGTCTCGGGTGTTTACGTGTAACACCTGGCAGTTCACCTGCCTCTTGGTGTTTACCAGCTGGGTGACATGATTAGCTGCCTCTGTGTTCAGGTTGTGTGTGCTCCATCTGGCCCAGTCTCTGTACCTCTATACCCTGCAAAAACATCATTTCCACCAAATGCTCACCTTGTCTCCCCCAAGACATTCCAGCACACTTGCTCTGTTGCAAGAGAGCTTGTCCCATCAAGTCTTTATCAGATGGGCTATGTTTTTTAAAAAAGAGTGTTGTCTGTCTGTGCAGTATGTGGTGTGTGTGTGGTGTGTGGTATGTATGTGTGGTGTGTGTGTGTGTGTGTGTGGTGTGTGTGTGTGTGTCCTGGGAATTTATCCCAGGTCATCTGCAAGAGCAGCACGTACTCTCAACTGCTGAGCTGTCTCTCCAGACCCTTCAGCAGCCGTTTCCCTGTCCACCACGCCACTCCAGGCCCGGTGTTCCCACAGAGTTTTTTGCATTTTGGCCAGCAGACATAAGTGCTCCAGTCAGTTGCCCCTTCTCTGGAAGCAGAGGGCCTTGGGCTCTGTCTTGTCGGGATCAGGCAGGTCCCTGGCCCCGGTATCCAACAGCAGAGATGGCAGTGGCATTCGAGTACAGTTCACTTGATTGCCCAGCACCAAGGACAAGCATCCCCACTGTGACCCTGCAGAGCCTTAGGCTCACAGTGGGCTAAGCAAGCCGTTTCCTGTCTTCCCAGCCCTTACCAGCTTTTGCCTTCCCATCCAGGCAAAGTGGAAGCCAAGCAAGTGCTGGCCAGTGCACCAACAGACAGGAACCTCTGTCACTTCAGGGTGAGTGGGGCTTCACGTCTTGTCCTTCTGAAGCATTTTTCAGGGGCGGGTATGGCTGAAGGTTTGAGATCATTTGCTTTGTCCTGGAGAAGGAGAGGTCAAAGGCCAGGAAGAAAGTCAGGCTTCTGGAAGACTAGAGCAGATTGAATGTGTGCCTATGTAGGGTGGTTGTGAACACTAATTAAGGAAGGTTCTAGAAGGTAAATCTTGAAGTCTGTGGGGAGCAGGGCCTGTTTGATTTTTCTTAATACAGGTATTTGTAACAACAGAGGCCTGAGGGAACCCATGGGAGGCAGGATGATTGGTGGTACACAGGTGGGCTATGGGATGCCTCCTCACACAGCCTCATTTCTGGCCCTGGTGTCTGTGCAGGCTCTGGGTTGTCAGACTACTCACTCCAACCAGGAAGTACTACAGAACTGCTCACTTATCATCTTTGCCACCAAGCCTCAAGTCCTGCCAGAGGTTCTGGCAGAAGTGGCCTCTGAGGTCACCACTGAGCACATCGTGGTATCTGTGGCTGCTGGGGTCTCTCTGAGTTCTCTGGAGGAGGTGAGTGGTCTATGGTTGAACAAGGCCTGAACTATGAAATAGACTTTGTTGGTTACACTCAGGAGGCAGACAGCATCCCAGGCAACCTCCAGAAGTGTTGGCCAGGGTTAGGTGACTGGGATAGTGTTTGGTCACTGTGCCTGGGAAGCGGGGACTAGAGGCTGCATTTCACTGAGGTGTTTGCCTGGAAGGCCCAGTCTTGTCGGCCGCCTGACACTAAGCTCTCTTTTGCCCAGCTGCTGCCCCCGAGAACACGAGTGTTTCGAGTCTCTCCCAATCTACCTTGCATAGTTCAGGAGGGGGCCATGGTGATGGCCCGGGGCCACCATGCTGGGAATGATGATGCTGAGCTCCTACAGAACTTGCTGGAATCCTGTGGACAATGTATAGAGGTTCCTGAGTCCTACGTAGATATCCACACTGGCCTCAGTGGCAGTGGTGTGGCCTTTGTGAGTATTGTCTTAACCCACACCCTTGGAGGCAAGGCCTTAACTTAGCAAAGGGCTCACAGTCAAGCCTTGGGGACTCAAGTGGTCCATGGGCTACCAGTGAGTTCTGCTGCCTCTCAGAACTCACAGTCTGTTGAACCATCGAGGCTGGCCACTTTACGAAACTCTGGGCTTAGGCCCAGTAGCTTCAGGTGTTTGACCATGTCCAGGGCCTGCTTTCTTGTGGTTCTGAGCCAGTGATTCTCAGCTTTCTGAATGCAGCGACCCTTTAATATAGTTCATGTGGTGACATCAACCATAAAATTATTTTTGTTGCTGCTTCATAATTAATTTTGCTACCGTTATGAATTTAATGTAAATGTCTGTGTTTTCTGGTGGTCTTAGGTGACCTCTGTGAAAGGGTTACTCAGCTCCCAAAGGGGTCACACCCCACAGGTTGAGAACTGCTGTTCAGGACATTCTCTAGCTGGGAGGGGTGTCCAGCCAGATGTCAGCTGTGACATTCCCCCTCCTGACTCCCGATGCTCTTGCTACAGGTGTGCACATTCTCAGAGGCCCTGGCCGAGGGGGCCATCAAGATGGGCATGCCCAGTGGCCTGGCGCACCGCATTGCTGCCCAGACCCTGCTGGTGAGTGAAGGCTTCCTCAGGAGAATGTTGGGAAGGTTCGGGTGTGGGCTGTCTCCAGCAGACAGGAAGACAAGCCCGCAAAGTCCAGACAGGCTAGGGGAACCAGCCCCGCCTCTCTCAACTCTCCCTTAACGCCTCTCCCCAGGGGACTGCCAAGATGCTGCAGCAGGAAGGGAAGCACCCAGCCCAGCTGCGGACAGATGTGCTCACACCAGCTGGAACCACCATCCATGGGCTTCACGCCCTAGAGCAGGGCGGTCTTCGTGCGGCTACCATGAGTGCGGTGGAAGCGGCTACCTGCCGGGCTAAGGAACTCAGCAGGAAGTAGGCCGGACGCCAGCCTCCGAGTGGGTGTCCTCCAAGCATCACGGTCATCGTCTTCATCAGGGAAGTGGTGACGACTTCTAAGAGACCCTCACGACTGGCTCTGTTGCCTGTGACATTCAGTGAAGGAGGCAGGGGACGGCGAGTCATTTGGCCCTCATCTGTGACTCCAGCTCCTCCCTTCTTCACCTCAGCCAGATGTAGTCGTGTTCCAATTGCACACTGCCTCATGGTCTCAGGAGGTGGTAGGATTAGCTGAAGCAGGAGAGGTTTCCATCTTTGCAGGTATGGGGGACATCATCCGTGCTGGCATGAGACGTTTTCACGATGTGGCTGCTTTGGGGTCACCCACACTCCTGTAAGCAACACCCCACCCATGCTCTGTAAGCCCAATAAACTCATTGGTTCCCCAAGTTGGACTTTGGTGGAATTTGTACTTTGGTTTGTCCTTGGTACCCTATAAGGAGCGGGTAGATGTTTCTATTTCCTCAGGAAGAGTATCTACAATTCTGGGCACCAGCCTCCTTGCTTGCCCAAGGTACTCCCATCTTCCCCTTGTCCCACCTAAGGACAGTGGTTCTCTGTCCATCGCACAAATGTTTCCACTTCCTCTACACTTGGAAAAGTGTCCATCTCTACAGCCCCCCGCCCTCAGAGTAGCAATAATCCTTCTAAAACGACATAATAGGCAATGCTGGTTCTCAGGTGCCTGAAAGCTGGCCTATTTCTTTTTTGGGGGTGAGGGTTGGAATTCACGACAAAGCTGCTAGCAACAAGAGCTACTGGGCCTGGTCTAGAGCCCTGACCCTTCTCTGAATTTCCCTGGAAGACCTCAAAAGTTAGTGGTCGTACTAGTGGAGGATGGGGGGAGGCACAGGGACAGGTGGCACTGCCCAAGAAGCTCCCACCCTCTCCATGAAGCTAGAACCTTGGCCCATAGGAAACAGTCCCCAGTAGAAGCTGAAGAACCCTCCTTCCCTGAGCATTCAGCGGGTGGCGTGGCCATGGCCTTCCATAATTGAGGAGGAACTGCACCGAGAGGCCTCGTGCTGCAGACCTGTGCTGCCCAGTTTGCCCTGTGCTCAGGCTACACCAGTCAAGTGGGAGAGCTGTTTAAAGTCAAAGGTGAGCCCTAGCTAGCTCTGGAAGACTAGACCCCTGCCCCCAGCTGGCTCTGAGGCAGGTAGAGCTTGAGCCTGGTACAGCAGCTACAGAGACAACCCTGGTAGGATCTGACTCTCTAATACATCCTTTCCTAGGCCAGCAGGTCAGGAAAGCCAGGACTTAGAGGAAAGTGAGGCTACGGATTGAGGACCGGTGCTCTGAGACTACTGCATAGAAAGGACTGATATGGCTCTGACCCCCACCCCAGGTACCCTCTTCCCCAAAACTTTCCCGGCCACCTAGACCCCAAGATGCTGGCTCCCTCATGTTTACCCAGCAGCCTCCTGAGACTTGAGAGCATTCATCAGTGTGGCTTGGGGCAGCCCCCTTAGTGGCAACTGCTAGCTGCGTGATACCGGATACCTATCTATAACTAATATTATACCTAGACAGGAAGAGGCTGCCCCATCCCCAGTCCCTCTGCTCCAGCACTGCGACCCTTCCTTCTCTTAGCTCTTTGCCTTGGATGTCCCCATCTCATCCCGTTTCCAGTGAGTGACTCCTCTCAGCCAAGGGCTAGCCGATTGGACTCTGGCACAGTCACTTGTTAGAAAGGCCATCAGAGTCCACTCCATGCCCTTATTTCCTCAGTTATAAGGACTTACAGGAAAACAGCTCAGCTGTTGTGTTTATACAAGGTGCGGAGTGAGCTGACCAATGAAAATGAGAAGGCAGCAGAGACAGCATGCAGAGGGTTCCATCTCTGCTGCAGGGCCACTTGCCTGCAGGGTCTAGGTAAGACAGGGTCCCAGAGTCTGGTACAAGGCACCCCCCTTATGAGAGTCCCTTGGGCAGCCTACCTGTCAAGAGAATCACTGATGGGGAACCAAAGATGTTTCTCTGAGACCAGGACTGGGAGGTGGGACACACCCCTTCATTGCCCAGTCACGGTCCAGAGGTGACAGGCTGGGACACAGGCTGTTGGCTACTCAAAGAGGCAGCTTTGGGGCCACACAGCTGTGACACTATCACCAAGGCCTCCTCCTATGTATGCTGGTCACCTGGCCACTGCTCTCTGTGATAAAAACTGGTAGGTACTCATGGCATTCTCTGTAGTCGATACTGTCCCACTTTTAGTGTTCCAGATCCAAGCATTAGATCCAGTCACAAAAATAAGTCTCAAACAGGATGACTGATGAGGTCGACCTGTTTCACCTTTATTACACAATTGCCATTAGACCTTCTGGCCAGGTGAACTTAGCTGTGACAAGTTTGGGTGTCAGAGAAAGGGCCCTGCAATAAGGTATGAAACCCACAAGCCCATGACCCTACTGAGGGCAGCCAATGGGGTCAAGGTGCTCCTGTAGGTACCTTTACAAGAGGCTAAACTGTACCAGGTCCCAGCTGGCTGTCTGGTAGGCAGTCCTAACGAGGCAGTGTGAAGGGCTCAGCCTTCAGATGACCAACCTCCGAGCTTGAGGTGCTCCCTCCTCTCAAGCCATTGTTTCACCCACAGTTCTGTTGCTTTCATTTTCCAAGTACATGGACTTTGGGGGACAAGGCTACCTGTGACTGCTGCAAGCCCCGGGCCCCCAAGAGTGGTGGTGATGGTTCCAACAGGACCTACACTCACCCGTCCTTCTGTGCTGGGTGAGTGTGAATCTGTTTGTGAATCTAGGGCAAGACCACTTAGCAGAAAAGGCTGCCTGCACTTCCCAGGCCAAAAGATCGCCACACTGTGTGGGGAGTAGGCAAACCTCTGGGGCAAGAGACCCAGGGTTCCTGCATGGTGCCTGGTACGCAGCACGTGTGCAATGGCTACGGAAGAAAGGAGCCGCTTTCCACCCTCCTGCGACACAGATGAGTGCACCGTGAGAGCATCGCGCTCTCCTAATGGGCCCGCTGGAACCCATCAGACACTGCGTGCACAAAGATGAGGTGACTGCACATCTTGGCCACAGGATATGCAGTACTGCAGCCCCAGAGTTATAGGACCTTCTGCTGGGACGCGTGGGCACCTGAGTACTCAGCCACCAGAACCATGCTATAGCATGTAAAGAACACCAGCATATTCTAGTGTTCTTTACATGCTGTTGTTTGAACACAGGGCCTTGGGTATCCTAGCAAACACCCTAGCATCCCTAGCCTGAGATGACACCCTTGCACCTTCTCATGGGCGTTTCCCTAGCCCAGTTAATGATGGTATACAGATACAAACCCGACAGGAACTCTGTGACCCACTCGGCCCACACTTGATCATTTAGAGGGCAGCAGCAATATGGGGCCATAGCAACCTCCTGGACCTTGTATCCCCGGATGAAAGGGGCTTGGACAGCTAGGGAGGCTGGTGAGAAGTCTCACTCCTGAGCCCTAGTGTCTGCCAACTCCAGTCCACCTGGGCACAGGCCCAAGGAGGAAACACAATAAAAAGGACAAAGAAACTACTGGAAACCTCTACAAAAGGTAGCCTATCCTGGAGCAGCTACTAGAGGCTACCCAGGCTTGATGTAAACCCAAGGCCTAGGCAGGTCTGCCTCCCCAGACTTGGAAGCAGGTCTATCAATGCCTGATGGTAGCTCCTAGCTGGCTGCTGGTATAAATACATTAGACTTCTAAAACCTCACCTAAGTTGCTAGTACCTGAGACCCTCGACCAGCCACGTTTGCTCAAGGTTCTCTAGGTCTTAGGCTTGAGGAGGCCAGAGTCATAGGTGACCAGATGAGCTCCAGTGTGTACAGATGGAGTCGGCTACCCGAGCCTCCATCTCGTTCCATGTTTTCCCTCAGCTCTTACTATTTACTCAGATTTTTGACTGGGGTGTCCTGTGGTTCCAAGAACTGTATTCTTGGATTTACATGGAGATCATCCAAGGCTCCATCCATTGCCAAGTTCTTGTGCCCTTTACCCTTCCCCACTTGGTATTCTCAAGGCTCAGACTATAAGGAGAGAAGATAGGGGAGAGTACCAGCGTAGGACTCAGGATAACACCTCTGCAAAGGCAGTGTCCCTGCCCAGATGCAGGTGCCTCAGCTCTAGATCACCAGGAGCAATCTGAGTCCAGTTGGACAGAGAGCAGCGTGACTCAGAATTGGGACATTCCTTTGAGTCTTTTCTCCTTCAACCTGAGCCATTCAGCAATAGTCCCTCAGCAACACCTTTGGAAATACCAGAAGGCAGATGAGTCTAGGGGGAGGGTTGGTGCAGGAAGAGCCCATGGGGGTTGGGGTTGACCCTAAGGCACGGCAGAGCTCCCAGATGGTTGTAAAGGCTATATGACCCGTTTTCAGGTAGATCAGAGAGCTCTAGAGCTAGACAAAGTGGTTTGTGGTTTGTCCTGCCATTGGTCAAGCCACCTGGGTCCAAATCCAAACGCTAGCCAACATCATGAACAGGAGATCTATCCAGAATGAAGTGTTTTTTTTTTTTTTTCCAAGACAGGGTTTCTCTGTAGCTTTGGAGGCTGTCCTGGAACTAGCTCTTGTAGACCAGGCTGGCCTCGAACTCACAGAGATCTGCCTGCCTCTGCCTCCCGAGTGCTGGGATTAAAGGCGTGCGCCACCAACGCCCGGCTGAAGTTTTTTTTAAGAAGTAAAAATCCAAGCAGAATAGAATCTACTATACCCTGCTGAATCCAAAACCTCACTAAGCACTGGGCTTCCATCCCCTCCGCTTGCCACTCTTGTGAGTACACCACCCCAGGCCAAGGCACTGGGGCCTACGCTGGGCTCGGATCCAGCACCACAAGGGACTTCAGTCATAAGAGCAAGGGCAAGAGAGCCCAGAGAGCATGTCACTCTGCCAGCACCCATGGTTCCCTATGAAGAGCATCTTTTAAAACAGGTTTAATGTATTCTTGTTTGTTTTTAAAACAAAACCAAGTGCTTTCCCACTGAGATGAGGCCAGGTAGCACCAGGGAGGCAGGTGAATCAGAAGCAGCAGCCTCATCCAGTGCACATGGGGGCAGGGGCAGGGATAAACCCCATAGGGGCCAGAAGGGCGGCACAGTCAACTGTTCTCCGTCCAGTCAACTGTTCTCCAGAAGGTGCTGTGCTTATGGGCCCACATGTGCCTACTCAGCAAACAGCACTTGCTTCTCTGAGCCACGTCCCCAAGACGTTGTGGACCACGGGGCAGGGCATCCTTTACCAACAGAACTCCTCTACGGTGGACTACACCATGGAAGAAAGGTGGAAGATGGCAGCCGGTGCATGCCCCCTCTCCCAGTGCAGCAGGAAAAAGGCCAGTGGGCCGCAGTAGTCACACACCGTCAGGCAGAGCTGCTGGTGAGGGCCCAATGCCCGCAAGCCTCCGTGCCATGGTAATGAGGGAACGTAGCTGCACTAGCCTCAGAGGGCCCACTTCTCTGGGATCCTGGCTTTCCAGCCACCTCAGAGCTGTCTCTAGACCCCAGACAGCTTCCCCAGCAGTAGGTACCAACATTGCTCCTTGCTCAGCGGCCTCTTCCTCCTCCTCTCCAGCCCCCATGCTGGAGGGCAGGCTGGCTGGGGATGGAGGAGCTGCAGGGACCACCTCCTGTCTGTAGCCCTCAGGGAGACCTCCACCACCACCGAGGTGCGGCCACTCAGCCACCTCTTCAGGTGCCAGGCGCTGTGTGAGGTCACTGAGCACCCTGCCGTGTTCAGTAGTCTCCTCTACCTGGCGGACTGGAGGCTGTCCCGGCTCAAAGGCTGCCCGAAGCCTCAGCAGCCAGCAGCGTTCTATGCTGCCTGCCTGGACCAGGTCCCAAGAGAGGCCAGCCAGGTATAGCATGTCCTTGAGCATGAAGCTTCTCATGAAGTCCAGCGGAGAGCCACTGGCACAAGACACAGCAAGTCTCAGCAGCTCTCGTCTGTACAAATGTTTGAAGGCTGCCACCACACCATGCTCCAGGGGGGCGGGGATGTGTGCTCGGCTGCTGCCCTTGGACAAGAAGAGCACTCGGACTGCACCATCAGGTGTCTGCAGCTCCTCTGGAGACCCAAAGAGCTCGGGCTGGCACTGCTTAGGCGTCTCCTCACTCTCCTCTAGGGCAGGCATCCGAGCGGCCCAGCTTGGACAAGGTGGATGGGCCACCAGCAACACCGCCTTCTGTTGCAGGCAGCTTCGGCGCAGGTAGCGCTTGACGCCAGGGACGAATTCCTCAAAGAACCAGCCCCGAAGAAGAGGGCGACTGAGCCAGGCATCCGGACTATAGCGGTAGGAGGCCGGGAACTTGTCCTGGTTGTGGTGACGCAAGCTGGGTGGGTCTGGTAGCCGCCCGATAACTAGTGGCTTCAATTTGTGGCTGCCGGTCAGGTTGGCGGCCAACAGCACTGTCACTCGGTCACCGGGCCAGCGCCGGCTGCACCCACTAGGTCCGCTGGAGTTCCCAGCGCCCTGAGTTGCGGCCTGCTCCGGAAGCAACCTCCAGTAGAGACCAGTAACGTTGGCATTGTAGATCTGTTCGTCACCATAGCCGCCCTCGGAGTGGGGCAGAGTAGCCAGTGCACGGCCAGGTAGGACGGCGGCGCCGGGTGGCTGTGCAGGCTCTTCTTTGACAGGCGCAGGGCCTGCGACCGGGGGCTCAGCCTCGCCATAGATGCGCTGGCTGGAGATGCCGTGGCGTTTCTGCCAGCGCCAGAACCAGCCGTGGCTAGCCTTGAATGTACACTCGGGGCCATAGATCTGGCGAGCAAAGGCCTCGGCCTGCGCTTGGATGACCGGACCGGACAGCGGCACGCCGTGCTGGCGCAAGGTGAGGAACCACGAGTAGACGGCGCGGTCGATCTCCTCCTCGTTGGCTAGCCGCATCTTCTTGCGCTGCGTGCCCACCTCTCCACCAAGCTGGTCCAGAAACCAACGCAGCTTGGGCTCGTCCTTGAGCCAGCCGCGCAGCGTGCCGCCCGGCACGCCGAAGTCGCGGCACACGCTGGCTTGCCGCTCACCACCCTTGACGCGCTCGATGGCCTGCAGCTTGTCTTTGATGGAGTAGGCCTTGCGGAAAGTCATTTTTACCGCCACGCGGGGCCGCGGCCCGGGAGCGGTGGGCGGCGGGCGCGCCGTGGGACCCTGGCCGGGAGCCGGCGATCGCGGCGGCTCGGCAAGGCGCCGGGGCGGGGGAAGACGAGCGCGATGAGGGACCGGATGCAGGGCCGGGCCGGCCGGTGGGCTCGTGGGGTACATGGCGTCGGCGCCAGGGACCACCGGGCGAGCGAGCCTGACACCCAGCGCGGGACGCTCGGGGCGGGGCTCGGGGGCGGGGCTGCCCGAGTCCCTCCCTTTTGTCTCGCCAGCCCTGCCGGCACAGGCGCACTCGTCCCGCCCCCTCCGCCTCGTGGCGCCTGCGCACGGTCTGGACTTGGGCGGGTCACCCGCGCGTGCGCACACCAACTCCGCCTCGCCCCGCCCTAGTCCGGCGGCTCCATTCTTCATGCTGTGGAGGGGTGCTGTATGTTGGGACGTCGGGTTCTCGGCTGTTTGTGACAACTCCTCGGGTAAGGCGCGGTGTCCGAGGCATCTGTCCCTCGGACTCTGCCACAGTGGTCCCTGCGTGCATCGTGGTGCATGCTCCGCGGGCGAGGCAGCGCGTGCTCAGAGTTGTGTCCCCCGCCGGGCACCTCGTGGTCTGTGCCGCTGCGTTTTCCGGGAGCTGCGCGGTCGCCCTTCCTTTCCTTTGCAGTCCTGAGCTCGCAGTTCCAGGTTTTGGTTGCTGCGTCCTTGGCTGGCGTGTGAGTACCGCGGGCCCCGCCTCAAGGAGCGCACGTGCGGCAGAGGCTGGAGCGTTCCTGCCCCGCGCCGTTAGGGTTGGCGCCAGTGAGAGCTACGGGTGGGCGTTTGGTCCTGTGTGGGGCCAGGCTGGTGACCACATGGTTGCCAGCTTCCTGAGCGCCGTTTCAAGCTGGCCGCACGGCGGCCTGCCCCGGCCATGATTGACACCCTTGCCGGGCCGGCGTTCCTCTGCCTCGGCTGTTGCCAAGGTCCTAAGGCCTTGCGGCTAAGCACCGATGGCATACCAAACTCTATGCGTAGAGGGAACTTGCTTCGGGTGCAGCCTCATGGAAATTAGGAGGCCCACGAACGCAGGGGAGAGAAAAGGCACGTGTGATGCCACCGGTTCAAACGAATTAGGGCTGGTTTGAAAAAGGTGGTTCTGGGCAAGTTTCTTGGGAAAGGCAAGTTGAAGGGTACGGTCATTTCTCTTTCTAATACACAAGCGCTCTCTTTCCCGGCCCCATGGTTTTCCAGAATGAAAGGCTATCTCGCAACAAAAGAACTTGTTGAAGCCTATAAGGGGTGCCACCCGTAGGTGCTTCTGAATTGGCCCTGTCACTCAGGGATAGCTAGCTCTTAATTCAGGCTTATTCTCATGGATGAAGCAAAGGATGGATGTGACAGGACCACCAGGTGCCCCCTGAGCCAATCCCGGGGGCCGCAGAGTCAAGAGGAAGAATTCCTCAAAGAACAAGGAGCCCCCTCCCAGTCTCTGGCTAGTTCAGCATGGGCCTCCACTTTGACTGCTGGAGAACTCGGTAAACAGTTGGAGAGTTGGCAGAGGGAGCCGCTTGCTTTTTTTTTTTTTTTGGTTTTTCGAGACAGGGTTTCTCTGTGGCTTTAGAGGCTGTCCTGGAACTCACTTGGTAGTCCAGGCTGGTCTCGAACTCACAGAGATCCGCCTGCCTCTGCCTCCCGAGTGCTGGGATTGCCGCTTGCATTTTCTTAACCTGAGATGTGCTCTGCCTGGCTCTCCATCCTCTCTGGAGGAAGCTGGTACAGGGCGAGTCCTCCAGGATCAGCTTTTGGGCCGCTGAGGCTCCAGGGCTTACTACAAATGAGGTAAAGGTGCTTGAAGAGGGTTTGATGGGCAGAGAGAATGGCATTGGGTATTTCTTCTGCATGCTTGTTGAAGGTTGGAGTCAGACATTTGTGTGGAGGACAGGTACTGGGACATGCCTGGTCCCTGGCTCCACGCATCATCAAACTCAGTGGATCTGGTGGTTATACCCATCAGTCTTAATTTTCCTTTCTGGGTTTAAAATGTCACACAGCATTACAGTGTTGCCAAGTATAAACCAAGAGCTGTCTAGCAAGCCCCAAGACCTGTGTGTCAGGTCAGGGTACCACAGGTTGGAACAGAGATAGAACTAACAGTGGTATTTGGGATAAGGAGATTGGAGCTGCCTGGGCGTAAGCGGGGCACTAGCCTCTGGGTCTCAAGGTTGGACAAACAGCACAGGCCAGTGTTTCTGAGTAGGACAGGGAAACCCCAGAGGCAGAAGCAGGGTGGGAGCTTGGAGATACAGAATTTAACCCATGAAAAAAGACCAGATGCACCGGCGCTCCTGTGCTTAGATGACTACAAAGCTAGCCTTTGCTCCTGGGTCCTCCATGTTCCAAATGGCACCAGCTGCCTCTTTGGACACCAGACTCAAAGTTTCCGTAGGCAGCACTGGTTCACAGACTCCAGCTAGGTGAGCCCAGAGGGTGTTGCTGTTGTGGTGAAGGGGTGTGAGTTGGACTTCCTAGCAGACCCTATTCCCTACCACCCTACTCATGAGGACAGACAGTACTGGGAGCCCATCAGTCATGTGACTTATGAGGTGACATGCTGTTTCAGAATGTCCAGAGGAAAGCCAGCTCTTAGGTTCCCAGCACATGGAACCCTTCAGATGTTTGCTGCTGTGGTGGGCCATACCTGCCATATGCCCTTTCTCATCTTCCTCAGGACCCAGTCCCCAAGCCAGAAGAGTCCTTGATGGGGGCCACTGCCTGGTCCAGAGTAGAAGCTATGAAAGCCCCAGACTCTTGTGGACTTCTCTGCAGAGCAGGTGCAGGTTGGCCTCAGAGGCTGCAGCTGGCCAGTAAGCTCTTTTGGCAAGTTCCTTTTGAGTGGGACTCAGTCTGGGTGCTGGGCTACATGGCCACGACTGGCTGTTGAACATATCTCAGGACCTGGGACCTGTCAGGTCTTTTTGTCTGCCGCATGAGCTGCCTGCATCCAAGGCCCTCAGGCATTGTCAATCTTACACACAGGGGCCTTGACAGCTCGCCTCTGGTGGTCAGTCTTGCAGTCTGTACTCCAACCTATCTGGGAGCAGGGCAAGGGCTGCTTAGGTCACTCTTTGGTTTTTCGAAACAGGGTTTCTCTGTGGCTTTGGAGGTTGTCCTGGAACTCTCTGTAGACCAGGCTGGCCTCAAACTCAACAGAGATCCGTCTGCCTCCCGAGTGCTGGGATTAAAGGCATACGCCACCAACGCCCGGCTAGGCCACTTCTTTCTAAATGATGTCTGAGCCTGCTTCTCTGGAAGTTGGCTTTCTTTCTGGTACTTCAATCTCAGGCATGTTTCTGCCATTTGCCCAGATAAAACCTCAGGAGAAAGGAAGACCAGCCCTGTTGTAGGGGTGTGGGTATTGACAAACCTGTCCTTGGGGGGTTTGAGAAATTCATTACTTGTTTTTCCTGGGCAGCTGCAGGTTTGCGTGCACGCGTTTGTGTGTGTGTGTGTGTGTGTGTGTGTGTGTCTGTCTGTCTGTCTGTCTGTCTGTCTGTCTGTCTGTCCTCCAGGGAAGCAATGGAGTTCAGGTATACCCAGTCTGGGTGCAAACTGGCTAAAGTCCTTGGCCTGTTGTACACCTGTGGGGAAAGCAGGTTGGGGAAGACCTTGTCCCTTGGGAGCCTTTGCTAACCGGTGCTAATGTCTTGGGTTGGCATTCCTGCCTGGTCTCTATCCCCGCCACCCAGAGGTGGCACTGTTTCCGTAAGAGGCCCAGTACCAGGTGTGGACCTGGAGCATTTGGGTTGGGGAGTGTCCTTGGCTTCCAAAGCCCTGCCAGTGAAGGAGAGACTGGCTTCCACAGCTGAGGGAGCACCCATCGGTGCTGGCTCACCTTGATGCAGATTGTTGTAGGCTCAGAGAGTGACGAGGGTGGGAGCAGTGAGTTTCCATGCTAGCTCCAGCTTGTCTCCTAGGTAATCTAAGGTCAACATGTCAGGGGCCACCAAAGAGCTCTGCCTCTCAAGTATGACGGCCCGGGGTTAGGCGTGTCTCATTGTGTCCTATTGCCATGCCACCTTGACAGGCAGCTTCTGAAAAGCCACCTAGGCTGTGGGAGCTGCTGTCTGGCATGGGTAGCCTTTCCCACTGCTCTAACCTTGCTGCTTTTCCTTCATGCTGTCCTAGGAGGCCAAAGCAAAAGTAAGTACACCTGCAAAGTGTCCCATGTCTCCCTTCACCTGTGCCAAGGAGTCCCCAGCCACCCATCCCTTGCCTGGGGAAGCATACCTATGCAGAGTTGAGCTTGCTGGGACAAGGCAGCGGTGTGGTTAGCGGTTGGCAAGTAGATACCCATGTGACCCTCACACCAAACAGGTCAGCATATCGCCTTCTGCCATATGGAGAAGTGACGGCCAATCATGAAGATGTGACCAAAGGAAATATCTAGTCTCAGTTGGCCCTGTCCCTTCTTGAGGGAGCACTGGAAATAGCTACATCTGTTTCCTTCAGAAGGGTTTCAACCTAGTCTGTTTGGTAGAGGGGCCAGCTTAGCGGGCATCGCTGAAGGGCACGGGGTGGGTTGGGGTCAACCTAGACCTGTAGTGCTCCACTGAAAGCCAGGAGTCTGTCAGGTCCTGCTGTGATGGCATGCACTGCCCCCTTTGTCACAGTAGGTGATGTCACAATGCTCTGCTTCCTGGGATCATCCTCAGTCCCTACCCCTGCCCCTGCTACTTGGCCTTGGTAAGTGAAGGGGTGGTTTGGAGACCTCTCTACGCTGGGCCTCTGTGGCACCTGCTCCTGGCTCCTCACAGTGGAGAGAGCTTGGGTGGACTGCACTTTAGCTGTCACTTAGAGGTAGGCTTCAGGGTATAACAGGGAGAGTTTTCCAAGGTCTTGAGCATAGGTGAGATTTGGATAGCTTAACACTCTTCCAGTCAGGCATTTTGTTGGATGTATTAGGAAAAGATCCTAGACAGTGATAGGAAGGTTTGCTGTCCAGCCAGAGGGCTCCCTTCCACTTCATGGGAGCCCAACAGATGGCCTGGGTGTTGCTGCAGACCCATAGGAGCAGCGTGATAGCAGCCTCGGCACCCTAGTCCTCAGGTTGAGTCCAGACAACAAAAATTTTGACGAGGCTACCCTTCTAGGGCAAGGCAGCACTAAGTATTTACCGGTGGTTTCTGGTAGGTCCTGGAGCCTATGTTTTCCGTGGTGCCACATTCAGTTCCGGGGTAGTGGAGGCAAGTCCTCCCTTGTGGCTGCTGCTCTGTGCTCAGCCACACCCTGCCGAGGGAGCAGGCCCTTAAAATGCAGGGCTTGAGGTAGCACCGGGCCTAGTAAGGAAGCAGGCCTTTGAGGCACTGTACGCTGATTACAGTTGCGAGTGGGATATGGTATCTGAGACTCTGAGGTCCCCATGATGACTCTTTGGTTCAAATGCATTTAGAGTTGTGAGGTGGTGACTGCTGGCAGTGGTACTCAATCCTTGACCCATCCCCATGATGTCAGGGTCACAGAGTCACTATCCC